CCCCCCTCACCTGCACCGACTCTTATTGTGACATTTAAACCTTATAAAGCAGAGGGCCACTCCACATAACTGATGGATTATGAGAACTCCTCTGTATCACTTTAATCACATCTTTTCATGGGAGATTAGAAAGCTCCCGATGAACCAACAAAACAGACCCGAGTAGATTGTCCCTATTTGTCTTTGGTTCTGCTGCCAGGTCTGGGGCCCACTGTGCCTTCACTGTCCGCCGCCACAGAGCAAACATCATTGTGCTGTTCCAACCTTCGTCCGTCACGCCGCCGTCTCACACAAATGCATGAAAGCATGATGGGAAATGTGGCGACTGGAACGATATCAAAGCCTCCAAGCTTAAATCTCCACAGTCCCGGCCATGCAACAGCTAATGTTCCCTTATAATTGACTTTTTGATGCCAGTGCACTGTGGATGGCCTCTCGCAGTAAAGCAGAGACTCGCTGTGTCTCTGTGCTCTATTTCCATCCCAGTCCAATCCAGTGCAGGCCGGTCATCCAGTCAGGATTCGTGTAGGTATACGGTGGGGATTATGTTTCACTGGGATTATGCACTGAGCAACAGCTGGCCTCATTTCTCCCACTTCATCCACCCGTTCCTCCTTCAAAGTGAATTTAATAATCACATCCTCCCGGCTGCATCGTAATAACTCTGTGTTGTTTGAGGTGTTGTTGCTCTGGACTTGTGTGCATGCGACGAAGGTGCAGAGTGTCAGTGGAGACGGGTGCAGATGAAGCCGGTTAATCTGTCCTGAATTAGAGCGATCCCAGATTACTGGCAGAGGTCAAGTAGGCCCTGCTGAGCCATTTTCACAGACTCAGCACGATAACACATCTTTAATCTATCCTGTTACATAGTTGTGTCGCTTTAATTTTTTTTTATTTTCAGTGGAGCAGAAACACCCTGAAATCCACTTAACCAGTTAACGTGGAATTATCCTGCAGGCTGCATGAGCCGAGGAGGTTATGTATGGAATTCTTGTATTTACTTTGTATAAATGGGCTTTTAGTTGGATTTATCTATGGATTTATTTGCATGCATAATTTAATCACAGATTACATTTTCATTGTGTGAGTGAGATAATAAGGGTGTTTTCTCTTTGCTTATTCAACAAGTTAATTTATAGTTTAAAAAGTATAGATTTGACTGCTGAATTTCTTAATCAGGATTATTAATGAATAAATGTTAAATAGGTCATTTGACTTTTTCCCAGAAAAACCCAACTGGAAGACTCGGATAATACATTTTTATTTCATATCCAAAATACAACTTCTTCTTTATGGATGAGTAAATGCAGAGCTGCTGGGTAAAGATGAAGCCAAAGCTTCAGCAGAGGATGACAAGCGGGATGAAGACCTCTTTGGGCTTCAGGGGGTCAAAGGTCACCTGATAACAAGCTGTCAAACTGCCCAGATCTTTGGAACTGTTTTATATTTAAGCTTTGTCATGCTTCTGAACTGAGCTGATCCAGAATCAGCCCACACTCCTTTTTCCTCCAGCACTTCTACCAAACTTCAGTCAGACTATGTCGAGAGAAAAACACGACTGTAGTGATGAAAGAGAAGAAATAAGGATGTTCTGATTTAGTCGCAAGTGACTAAGAAGTCAGTGGTTTCATAACTTACAGGAAAAATGTCTTTTTTATATTTTGTTTTGCTCTGAAGGACATCATGCTCAACAAAAGCTCTTCATTTGAGTTCTCGGGTCAGTGATTATGATATTTTTCAGCCAATCAACAAATCATTCAGGATATAGTCGTTACTGACATATTGATATGTAACCTCAACCTAACTAAGTTTCTGTGTTCCTTGTTTTCTGCCTCAGCCAAAGCAGGAAATTAGATCAGCACAGAAACTAAAACCTCACCATACCCAGATCAGGATTCTGTCACCAGTTCCGCTCCCCTGAGGGTCGCTCACTGTTAGTTTCTGTTCCTTGTTGCCGGTTAATGAGCCGCTCCTCCTCTGTTTCACCCCCAGAGGAACAGAATTGATAACCCCCGGCTGTACAGGAGGAGCAGTAGGTGGAGCGCAGCGAGGACCTTGAGTTTGTGGATAATGGAAAGTCTCTGCTCACAGCATTTATGAATAGAAGGGGTGCGTTCATCACAGCGGCCTCTGGAAGCTAGAGGGGTGCAGAGGCCAGAGATAATGAATTAAAATCCAACCCTCTCTTTCCTGTTCTCCTCACAGAGTCCCCATTACAGTGAATTTGTGGACGAGCTGACAGAGTATAGGACCAAGAACATCCTCGCCGTCCCCATCATGAACGGTAAAGACATGGTGGCCGTCATGATGGCCATCAACAAGTTGGATGAGCCGCACTTCACGACCAAAGATGAAGAGGTAACGTCTGAAGCTGTCTGACAAATTCATGTTATTTTAAAAACTCAACCACATGCATTTAATACAATCTTCTGCTTTGCAACTATGAACAAATGTTATATCGTCATATAAAATATATGTGTTTCACTTCTCCTGAACTTATTTAACTATCTGCTGAATTTAAGAATTATCTTTGTTAATGAATCGATTATAAAAACCAGACTCTGGTATTTCTAGATTCATGTCGTCACAGGTTTTGATGCAAATGTGAATTGATTTGACATGAAATTTAATTTGGCCACAGCCAAACTAAATTAATTTGATTGAAAAGATTAAAAATTAATGAAAAACCTGTGGAGCCAGAGATGGTTGTGGAGTGTAGTGATCGATTTGTGTTAAGTCAAGCAATCCATCTGAAAAGCACTTTGGTTTTACTCTTCATTCATCAAGGATTATGAGCCAAAAAGTTTTATAGGCACACAAATAAAAAAGTCTGTCTAATAAAACAGTCATAAATGAAGGTTTTACTGCAGAGGAGAATATATTCACTCGTCTATTTGTTTGTCAGCAGGTTTTACACAAAAACTAAAGAACAGATTTCCACAAAACTAAGTGGAAGTGTGGGACATGAAAGAACCCAATCAAATTTTGGATCCAGAATATTTTTTATCATTTACCATTTCATTGTGAGAATTATTCTCTAAATTCAGAATCTGAGAATAATTCATGAATTTCAAATTAAAATCCGGATCTTGCAGATTTAACTCTGGTTTCATTGGTGCAGGTTTTACAAACCAATGTGTAGCTGACATAATGTGGATTCAGTGGAGAATAAACTGTTTATATGCATTTTATATAGTTTGAGAAGAATGTCCAAACAAACAGCTTTTGCAAGACTCTTAACTCAGGATGCATTAATTTTAACTTGGTGGAATTTATACGAGATACAAATCTGAAGTTGCCCAATTCACAAGTAACAGGATTAACCCTTAAACATCTGGAAGCTGAAAGGAGAACAGGCCTCTTATTGAAGGGAGGGCAAGAGATGGGCTCAAAGGACCAGGTCACAGTGATGAAAGTCACAAGCAAATGAAAAACAGCTGCAGGGTTTTTAATGAGGTGTCAGGTGATTAAAATTATTCCTAAATAAAAGTTTGCTCTTACCACTTTGTCAGAGTTGTGTTTACACTGTTATCAGCCGCTGTCATGTTCACGTTGCAGAGTTTAATCTGCAGGATACAAACTAAATACAGCTCGGAACGTTTTCTTCATCAACACAGAACCGACGATGTGAACATCACCTGTCAAATGTGACAGTTTGACACAAGCAATTATTGTAATTATCTCACTCAATATTGGATTAGAAAAGTTTATCATCTGCTCGGACTGATACTAACACATTATAGAAAACTGAATATGTAATGGTGGTCACTGCTGCTTTGCATAAAATGATCCGAAGATGTAACGCTCGGTGTCGACCGTCTGTTTCCTTTCAGACCCTGAACAAGTATCTGAACTTTGTGAACCTGGTGCTGAGAGTTTTCCACCTGAGTTACCTGCACAACTGTGAGACCAGGAGAGGCCAGGTGAGGCCACAGTGCACACAGTGCTCCATATACTTCCTCAGCCTTGTTATCTTTTCCTGTCCGTCTGTTTGTTTTGTCCTTGGTTGATTTGTTTAATTATAAACACCGAAGCAGATTCCAATGAAACCTGGAGAAAGGACCAAGAAAGGAATCTTTATTATTTATTCTTTTCATTTTCTTAAACATTGCAGGACAGGCCTTTTTTTTCCTTCTTTTTATCTTCACCTATTTCTCTGGGAATAATAATAATATGAAAATAACTTTATTTGTATGGCTCATATTTAAACAAGGTTACAAGAAAGAAGTTCAAGAAGAACTTCAGAAAATGCATGGCAAAAAATGAAGGACCTAAAATAAGAGGTTTCACACATTAAGGTCGAGATCTTAAAATTGAACCCAATAGTTCATGGAATCTTGATCATATTAAGGGGCAGATATCTTTGTGTGTGTGCAGTTTGGTGCAGAACCAAATAAAAATCCAGATCTCGCTGATTTAAATGTTCCATGGGGGGGTAGCTTTTGAAGGCTACGTATGGTAATACAATCTGACGCTGACGAGAAGAAAGGGCCGGATCCTGGAGGGTTTTCACTTTCTTCAACATCTTGTCAGATAAGACCTTTGGTGGAGGTATGGGCTCTACTGAGATATAGTTTAAAAACTTTGGGGCTAGTTTTCAAACTGAGCTCAAACTGTTGTGGGAAGTGTCCAAAATCTGACCTAATAAAACAAATTGTCCTCTGTCCTGTGGAGCAGGTGCTGCTGTGGTCGGCCAGCAAGGTGTTTGAGGAGCTGACGGACATCGAGAGGCAGTTCCACAAAGCCTTGTACACAGTCAGAGCTTTCCTCAACTGTGACCGCTACTCTGTGGGTCTGCTGGACATGACCAAGACCAAGGTGGGTCAAGAACCATTGTATTGAACAGCTGGAAACTATTTATTGGAATAATTCCCAAAGTCTTCATGAGTACCAGTGTGTAACAACCTAAAAGCAGATTGGAGGATGACAGGCAACGATTTCAGGCTTTTTTATCTTTTAAACTGTTGTTGATTTCACAAAACCCCAAAAAATACGTAATATTTGATCCACAAATGAACCTGAAATCCTGCAGTAAAAATGAAGCACAGTATATAACAAAAAACCCAAAGACATTTTACACTCAATGCGTCAATCGCTCATCAGTTATGCACTTCTGCTTTGGTACCATTCCCACGCCAAATGAATTTTGATGAGATTCGTTTTTTCTTCTCGTCCTTTGAGAAGACACATTTTCAGAAACTCCTCGGAGGTTTCCTCGTCTGATCTGCACAGATTCTTTCTCTCGGTTTAGTTTGCTGTTGCTTTTTTTTTTTTGTATCTTTGAAAGCAACAACACTTAAACACCTTCTGATCATCATCGTATTATCCCCATATATTTGTCCTAATTAACAAATTGTCATGAATGCTTCTCATTGGCCGTGGCTGTCAGCTAATTACAAGCAGCTGCCAGTTGATTCCTAACACCTGCTATGTGAGAACAGGCCCGTGTTGTCGGTCTGCACAGATGGTCGTCTGGTAACGACGCTGGGTTTCATGAACATCGCTCTTGAGATTAAACACAACTAGTAGCTCAGTAGCTTTGAGCCCATATCTCTGGAAGCTCAGAGGAGAAGATATCACACGCTCTCAAGAGGCTAGTTGTAATTAACGTTTCCAGACAGAAGGATGCTGTTTGATGAAACTTACAGAGGAAATAAATAATGAGCGAACAGAAGCAGCTATGGTCAGTCGTTCTAAATCCTTTCTGTGTGTCTGCAGGAGTTCTTTGACTTGTGGCCTGTTCTGATGGGAGAAGTTCCACCGTACGATGGACCCAAAACTCCTGATGGCAGGGTGAGGACATTTCACCACCGACTACAGCCCAATCTTCTCCTGCTACTCTGTCATACCCTAATATTTACTCTAGCGTCAGCATCAGGTCCAACGCCCCATTGATTCTCACTTATCCATGAAAAGTTAACCCTGACAGATTTCCCTTTTGGGGAGTTGTCATTTAGCTCATCTTTGTCTATTGTTCTGACTATTACAAAATTTCTCCTCACTCCCTCACGTGAAGGAAATCATCTTCTACAAAGTGATTGACTACATCCTCCACGGAAAAGAAGACATCAAAGTTATACCGTGAGTCTCAGCGAGATGTTAAAGACACAGATTAGTCTCTGTGATCTGCATCACAGCCATTAAGAGGCTAAAAGGAAGATTTCAGACACCAAACACAACATAACACAGAGATAATAGACTTTTGACAAGTGTGAATAAGCAAATAAGCCTCTTATCAAACATTAATAACCACCATCCAAACATCTCACTGTAGAATAACAACTACTAAAGTTAAATCTACATGGTTACATATTTATTTAACCCTGGCAGGATCAAGTAAACACCGAGCTAAATGCTGCGTCTCACTATTCACTATATACTCCACTCTATAGTGAGTTCGCCAGAGACGTTCAGCTGGCCAATCAGAGCAGACTGGGCTTGATGGGGTGGGGGCGGGGGCAGCCTTAAAGAGACAGGAGCTAAATCCAAGTGTTGGAGACAGAGGCTGAAAAGAGGAGCTGCAGCATTAGACAGAGAGGGAAGTGATGTGTTTTCTTAACATCAGAGCGTTTAAACCTTTTCATAAAAAAATGATCAGCCTGAATATGAGAAGACTGTGTCTCCTTTAACGATGGTGATGATAACGATGTTACGTCTTGTTAATTTCAGGGGTCCTGCAGCAGATCACTGGGCTCTGTCCAGCGGCTTACCAACCTACGTTGCAGAGAACGGACTGGTCAGTGTTCTCTTTCTCTTCGTTTGAACTTTGCTCTGAGCCCTCGCGTTTTCAATAAATCTCTCATGATGTTGTGATGTGAGCATCAACTCTAACATCCAGGCTGTGTTGTCAGAATACTCCTGCGCCACACCAAATTTTACGCACTAATACATATGAGTCCTCTCAATGAGCCTGATTACTTCCAGATCCATTCATTTTTCCTGGGAAATCGGTGAAAAATGCTTTATAGTCACAATATATCTTCTTTGACCCATATCTCACCCTTCCACCAAGTTTCAAGTTAACACATCCAGTCGTTTGTCAGTAAGAGACAAAATGAAAAAATAACCCTCTTGGCTTCCTTAAGAATATAAGATTCAAAAGCTGTTGATTCAATTAAAATGGGTTGTTTTTAAACGGCCATGTTTTCTGTGAGCATCTTTGAATCTGCAGCAGCGTTGTTCTCCATCCTCAGTTTAACGTCTCCAGCAGAAATGTTTTCTGAGGAACGTCAGCTCCCACAGACTTTAAATCAAACGCGATAAGAGCAAAGAGTATAATCAGATTTAAATTGAAAGCGTCTCTGCGTCACATTTGCATCCTTAAGTTACAGTGATTTACTGAAGGACACTTAGGCGGGTCACAGGGAAACACAGAGGTATCGAACGTGTGATCTCTCTGCAAGTGCTCGGCCACCCCAGAGCCTGAACATGTAGGAATAAGACAGCAAATGAATAATGAATTCATGGCCAGTGAGCAGAATACAAACAGTGACTCCTCAGTTCAGAAGATTAAGGTGGATGTAAAACAACAACATGTCCGATTATAAAACCAGAAGATACATCACACTTTCTTTCCTGTTCATTTTCGGGAGATTTGACGGAACGAGTGCAGCAGAACTCTGCATTTGAAGTTGTATTTATAAAAACAGATAATAATTATAATAAATGGACAAGCATATAATCAATCTGTATACATTCGTGGTATCACAGATCCATTTGAATCTTTCATTTTTATTCAGCCCTGCACATGTTCATACAACATCTATTAATGCTTTGTTCTCTCAAGGTGGAGAAGTTCTTACTTGTAATTCTAATTCTGAACGAGACGCACCTGAACTGTGCAACTCAACACAAACGTTTTCACTAAGCAGGACGGACAGGACTGGAGATTTCCCACAGTGCATCTGACACCAAAATGTCTCTTTCTGAACTAAGCGTGTTGTTTATGGAGCTTTTTCAGCAATGTGAGAAAGCATTAAATTCACAAAATGTGTTGAAACTGCAGCTGTTGACTGCAGTTTACTGCTTTTTTAAAATGCATACTCACTTTAAAAAGTTTTAATAACTTCAGCTGACTTAAAATGTGGATATTTTGGGAAAGATGCAGGTTGAGTTATTCTGACGTGTTCCTGTGATGATAAATGAGATAATAATTAACTCCACTACATCCTGCCGTACAGATGGTTTTTATCAGTTCATGTTGACTTTAGATTAATTAACAACATATCTTAGTGTGTTGCTAGATTGATACTTTATTCAAGTATGATTTCTTGTTAAACTCCATAACATATAAATATTATTTCTGGGTTTTTTCTGAATCTGTGAGTGAGGCTTGATTCGACCAAAACTTTAAATTCAGAACAAAAATACTTTTTACTGCTGAGTGCAATTCAAATAAAAAAATCTTTAAAAAATAATCTCTATTTCAAAATATCTTCTTTTAAAGCAGCGGGTGGTCGGGCGAGCAGAATGCCATTAGGCCTTATTACACAGTTGTCAGTGTGCACACCGCTGTGGAAATGAAAAGAGCTCAGCCTCACGCTGCCATGATGTATAATTGTAATCTTCGTGGCCGTTGTAATTAATCACATTGTGCTTTTTCCCAAACCACTGATTCTGCCGTCGCTCGTCGATCTGTCTGCTTCTGCTTCATCCCTCCCGTCCTCGTCCTGCCCCGTCCTTTCATCGTCATTTTTCAACTTCACATCAACTTTTCCTCCCCCGTCTTCTCCTTTATCCTGTTAAAGGTGAAAAACTAATTTCTCCACCGAGAATTTCTCTTTAGTGTGAGCTGAGTGAAAGACACGTCAGATTGACACTAATGCTTTTAGATGCAAATCCATCTGTGGAGCGGCAGAGCGTGAAAACTTTGTCAGGGTCTGAAATATGAGCGAATGCAGGATCATGCAAAAACTACTGAATTGATTTTATTTAAACTTGATTGACGGATGCGTGGGCCAAAAAAAACGCCCTCACATTACAACAACTCTCACCCTGAACTTTATTCTCTTTCACAACAGATCTGTAACATAATGAACGCAGGACAGGACGAGTTTTTCAACTTCCAGGTGAGATCGCTGCCACTTTTCTTTTGTTTATTATCCAGAAAGCTTTGCTTAAGAGATAAATCATGAAACAAATCTTAACAAACTATCAAATTAAAATCAATACGACCACTTTTATTACCCAGTAAAACATGAATCACACTTTTTTTTCAGTAGAATAAATTTAAAACCATCCATCATCTTAATTTGTTTCTGCTTGTAAACAAGTGTCAGAGGACTTTATAAATTGGAGCGTCCTCTCTGTCTTATACAAATGAAAATCAAACGCTCCATAGTTGATTGTGTTTAAAGAGGAAAACATTGGATAATTGATTCAGGAAACAAAAGTAGAGTAAAGAAATATTTCTCCTTCCTCTAGACAAGGATATAAAAAATGTGACGGCAAATTAGTGGCTTGATGCTGCAGATTATTACATTAATAAATATTTAAAGATGACTGGTGTTAAAATATGCTCATGCAGGTAAATGAGAAATGCACTAAAGATGAGAAGTTGCAGTTCACATTAACATTTATTCACTTTGCGGTCCGCAGAAAGAATCCCATTCATTTCACTCATATATTTATATTTTTGTTCTTACACATTTATTTATTCAGGAAAATGATAAATTCAGCTCGACTTCGCTGCGGCTTCGCATTTATACATTTATGAATCCTGTTACTCGGTGGACTAGCTTTTCTTATTAACTCTAATCAGATTTTTATGTTAAAAAATAAATGGCGTTAACATGTTGCAGTCAGATTACAGTAATTGCATTGCTCTCGAGCGATGTCAATAAAATAGAGCTGAGAATAATGTTTGGAAAAACGACCTTTTCAGGAGGAACCGTTCTAACGTGTATATATTTAGATATTTCACAGTAGGTGTTAAATATGGTGAGGTAGGTTTTAATCATGGTAACGTTTATTTAAAACTACTTCCATCGTGCTTTAAAAATAAATGTTTTTGTGGCAGGTATATTTCTCAGTGTTTACATGCGTTCACACGGTGTCGGAGTAATCTTAAACTCTAGTTTCCAATTGGAAAGAATTCACGTGGACGCCATCTCAAGTCAGAAAACAATGTGTTGTTTAAACATATTTGAAAATGTTTTAATTTGATAGTTTCCCTACGTTCCTCAAATCATTTTATTTCTAAGACTATATATAGTTTGTATATATTATGCTTTTCTTCTTTTTTAACAACCTGCACAGCTCAGACTCTGAAAACATTTCCCTTCATTAAACTGCTGCACATTATGTTTTGGCAAATATCCATTCAGAGAGAAAACTTCTATATATAGTTCATCTAATTTATAAGTATTGAATTCTAATCTGAGCACATCCTCTTTTTGCTTTTACCATTTTAAAAACGTTTCCCTCCTGCGATGAAGCTAAAGTGCAGCATAACAACAGCGAGCATCTATTTTAAAAATAAGTGAGTCGTCAACATCGGCCGCAGCAGATTTTAGAAGCAGGTGAATTATTGATTGTTTTCCTCATTTCATCTGAGTTCACGTTACATTTCTGTCACGTTTCTGTTCCCACAAAAAGAAGAGCATCGGCGGTCCTGGATTTAAAAAAACAGTGTCAGTAAGTCATATTCTGGATTAATGCTGATGTTGAACCGTGTGTGCACAGAAAGAGCCTCTGGATGATTCTGGATGGACGATCAAGAACGTCCTGTCTTTGCCAATCGTCAACAAGAAAGAAGAGATAGTGGGCGTGGCCACGTTCTATAACAGGAAGGATGGGAAACCCTTTGATGAAATGGATGAAACGCTGATGGAGGTACAGGCTCCGTGTGTGTGTGTGTGTGTGTGTGTGTGTGTGTGTGTGTGTGTGTGTGTCAGCACTGAGTCATTGGTTTATAAATACACTCGGGCCATTCAGAGCATCTGCATTATTTATCACGAGGCCTGGAGGCTTTTTTTTTTTTTTACTCTCTCTCTGCTTCTCTGCTCAGAATCCAGTTAAAAACACAACATGACAGTTTGAAAATCAAAGTAGTTTCAGGAACCTTTTTCTTTTCTGACATTTCCATATGAATACGATTTGTTATTTGGCAAACGTTCACCGCAGACATGATGTCTTAAAACAGTTTGTGGTGACTGTGGTGCATAGTGACCAAGTACATTTACTCAAGTACAGTACTTAAGTAGAATATTGAGGTACTTGTACTTAAGGCAGAGCACACTTTCCTCTCAGTTTAGAAATTCACCATCCAATGGGCTCAGCCTGCTGCTCGCGCTTATTAAGACATTTTGTGCAGTCGAGCGAAAAGTCCCAACAGTTCTGAGCTCGTTAGTTAAAACATTTTCTTGTTCTTCACTCGAGCTCTTCTGCTTGAAGCAAATTAGAAACATTTTTACACAACACCACTAGATTCCAGAACCAGAAGGTGCTGGTTGTTTTGCATATTATGATTTTTACAGAGTTTTAACATGTTTTAATTAAATATTATTCAGCTCTGGAGGTGGTAATTCCGTAACTCAGGTAGTAATTAAGAATTAAAAGTGTTAACACAGAACATTACTGACATTATCTGAACGGAGATGTTGGTGCGGTGGATAGCACCGTCGATTAGTTCGATTAGTATGATTGGTAAACTTAATGAAGAAATTTTTTAGACTAGTTGAATATTAAAATATAACTTGATGTGCATGAGAAGTTTACAGGTCAAAGAAATGATTCTAATATTGTGTTTAATGTATTTAAAAAAACCAGTGGGAAACAAATACACACGTTCCATATGCTGTATATATTAATGCTCTGTCTCTGTCTCACACACACACACACACACGCCTGTGTCCAGTCGCTGACCCAGTTCCTGGGCTGGTCTGTGCTGAACCCCGACACCTACGACAGGATGAACAAGCTGGAGAACAGGAAGGACATCTTCCAGGACATGGTGATGTACCACGTCAAGTGTCGCAAGGATGAAATCCAGAACGTTCTGGTTAGTGAACACGAGACGATCACATGACATCAACTTAAATATAGAAATATCACTATGGTTTCACCAGAATTGTGGTTTTAATGATAATATGGAGATAAACTGAAGTCTCCTTATAGATAATATTAAGTCTAGTATTTTACACACTGAGTGCTGTTTGCTGAAGCTAAATTTCCAGACAGACATTATAATACCTTGAAAAGACCAATTTTACTCTTCACTGTTGTTTTCTTGAGTCTTTTTTAGTTTAGAAAAGTGTCTCCAGTGATACACAGAGGAACAAAGAGCATATTTCATGTCTACTTTAAAAATCCAAGGAATGAAATATGAATTTGTTGATGCAGGAGAAGTTGTGCTTGCAGGTGCATGAATGAAAGCGGGAAAAGAAAATGTTGATGTTCGACCACGATAACACATTTTGACAGAGAGCAGACGTCTTTAATATCTAGTTTTGTCTTTTTTTGAATTCTTGTTAATGAAAAAATCATTTCATTTCAGAATTTTTACCTTTTTATTTAATGAAAAAGGTTTTTATTTAATTTCACAGCCCCTTTGAAATTAGAGGTTGACAGGTTGACAGTAAATAAAAACTCTGTTGGACACTGATGTATTTTAAATAAACACAAAATAAGAGGAAAGCAGAAGACACTAGCAATACGAGGAATGGAACCCCCAACCTCTGCAGAGTTGGGGCCTTGCTTCATCCTGCTGCTAGGTGCGATTTAAACAGGAGGTGAGAATCATTTATAAAGTGAAACAAGCTGTCAGCTTTTGTATGAGGTGATTTATCAGCATACAGAGAGACAGACAGAGAGAAGAAGCGCAGAGAGCGACGACCTGCTGTGACCTCACATCAGGAGCCGGATGATTGATGTTAAAAGCATTTTCATCAAGGTGAAGTGTTGATGGTTTGTGTTTCCCCAGAACACCAGGGAGAGATGGGGGAAGGAACCGGATGAGTGCGAGGAGGAGGAGCTCCAAGAGATTCTGGTGAACCACAGAATATCTTTTACTAATTCCATGAAATCCGCAAACACAGTAAAATCGAAATGAACTTTTTTAAATCGAACATTTCTGGCATCAGGACACGTTGCACAAAAACATTTCCCCTGATGCAACATGATTCTGTGGTGGAGGAAAGAAAAGAGTTTGTGAAATTGTTTCATCGATTCCACCAATCAAACTTTTTTTTGACCTTTTTTGTTTTAAGGTTTCTCATTTTTTCACATTACTGCAGGACAGTGTTCAGGATGATCCAAACAAAATGACTCCAGAAATCTACGTTAATGTTTTCTATCTGTCATCTTCTGTCCACAGTCGGAGGTTTTGCCGAACTCTAAGAAATCTGAGATCTTAGAGTTTCACTTCTGCGACTTTGAACACAGTGAACTGGACCTGGTGAAGTGCGGCATCAAGATGTACTACGAACTGAAAGTGGTGGACAAGTTTCATATCCCCAGAGAGGTGGGTGCCTGGTTCATTTGTAGTTTGGCTGCATAATGCTTCCTGTTTTCAAAAGGGGCTGCAGTGTCAAAATGAAATCAAAAATCATTAAATACTACATTTCCTGCAGAGAAAACAAATTCAAAACTTTGTCAAATGTGGTCATGTTCTGTGTGTAGGCTGCAGCTCGGAGGTTGTTATTGAAATATGGTTGAAATCACTGTCACCTTATTGAAAATCCATGTAGATTATCTTCATGTAAATGAATTAAATCAGAATTAAATCATTACCACGAGATCAGGGTATCGTGACGTGATTATATTGGAGTCAATAAAGAGGAAAGTTGATGAAATACAAACCTTAGAGAAATCTAAAGCAGTGAAGCGGAAAGTGAAACAAATAAAGCAAAAACTTAATAATAATAATAATAATGAGTAAACATAATATACAAAGTGTGAATAGAATTTTACGTATAAAAAGATGAAAACTGCACGGCCAGGAAATGAGTCGAATTAAATGAGGTCACACCTGAGTGAATCTGTGTGCAGTCAGAACATTGCTCGTTGAATATTTGAAAGTACTGGTATCTGTAGATAAACGAGCAGTTTCACACGTTCTGCTGCAGTGACGTCATCGTTTCTCGTTTCTCGTCACATTTACCAGTAAACTGTGACCCACAGGTGCTGGTGAGGTMCATGTACTCGCTGAGTAAAGGCTACAGGAGGATCACTTACCACAACTGGAGGCACGGATTCAACGTGGGACAGACGATGTTCACTCTGCTGATGGTCAGAGAGAAACCCTGTCCTCCCTCCTCCTCTTCCTCCTTCTCCTAATGAATCATCAATCCTTCACCTCCTGCTCTCCATCTTCCCAATCCTCCTCCTCTCCTCCAGTAAAACCTCTTCACCTCATCTTTCATGTTTCCTGTTTTATCCTCCTTCGTATGTTCTGCACATGTTGTCATGTGTGCCTGCGCCGTGATTGTGTGTAAGAGAGACGGCGAGAAAGGAGGAGTAAACGAGAGATGATGAAATGTGTCTGCAAACGATGAAATGAGTCAGTGTTGCATGAACTGGTCATTAATAAGAAAACCAGTGAGAGTTGTAATTGTTTGTATGTGTGCAGCCTGTTTTTGTCGTTACCAGTGTAAATGTCTGATCTTTCTGAAAATCATCTACTTTTACGTGACAGTTCTTTGTGTAAATAACTCACTGAGTTCCTGAACTTGTGTGTGTGTGTGTGTGTGTGTGTGTGTGTGTGTTTGTTCTCAGACAGGTGATCTGAAGCGTTACTACACGGACCTGGAGTGTATGGCCATGGTGACCGCCGGCTTCTGCCACGATATCGACCACAGAGGAACCAACAACCTCTACCAGTTGAAGTAAGAGCTGTGTGTGTGTGTGTGTGTGTGTGTGTGTGTGTGTGTGTGTTAAAATTAGAAACAGTTAATTAATTGAATAATAAGTATGTGTGTAATAAATTGACCACTGAGTGTGTTTGCGGTGGTTGTGTGGTTGTTGTTTTAAGGTTCTTTAGGATTCAACAAACAGTGTAAATGTGAGTCGGTCTTGATAATTAGCTTCAGGGTTCAATAAAGAAAAAAGAAGTCGAGGCGACGTGAGACCTGCTGAGCAACCAGTGGTTTACATGAGGTCACCTGCAGAGTGAATCACTCACAGTGGTTTCTCTTTGGTCTGTCCTCACGTCTACAGCAAGAATTAGACAACAAACAAATGTAAAATACTGTCATCACTGCTGTTATGACCCAATTTCTCTGAGTTTCGGTTGCGTTCATTTAGAAACTTCCTCTCGTTTTGGGGATCAGACAGTTGTGGTGGTTGTGACGCTGTGTAATTGACTCGCAGTGACAGCAGCCACTCCTCTCGGGTACAGACGAGCTGACCTCAGCTCTTTGGGAGAGGCTCACGTCAAACCCCCGGAACATCAACGAGCTGATATTGACCAGATACGCCTCCAGCTGCTCTGCGCCTACTGCTGATGGATGAGCTAATGAGAGCCGCTATTAGCCGCGGACGCAGCGGGGCAAGCCCACCCTGGGTTTACCACGCATGATTCATCACAGTGTAACCTCCCATCATGCTCTCTGGGTGTGTGTGTGTGTGTGTGTGTCCAGGTCTGGTAATCCTCTGGCGAAGCTTCATGGCTCCTCCATCTTGGAAAGACACCATCTGGAGTTTGGCAAGACTCTGCTGAGAGATGAAGTATGTGGCAGCGCAAACACATTAACACCTGAGCACCTGTACAAAGCAATGTAGTACAACTGTCTGGCAGTGAATATGAAGAGGTGACGGCCCAGAGATGGAGGGTCGTGATATGAAATTACAATGATTTATCCAAACCTCTTAAATATTTAAAGAAAACTTTGTAAATCTCTATCCAGTGCAGTCTATCTATCCATCCATCCGTCCCCTTGTAGCTTCTTGTCTTTAAAGTGACTGTGTCAATCGTCTCTTGTGTTTCAGTCATTGAACATTTATCAGAACCTGAACCGACGTCAGCACGACACCGTCATCCACCTCATGGACATCTCCATCATCGCCACTGACCTGGCTCTCTACTTCAAGTCAGTACCAAGAGCAGCTCCGTCCGCTCACAGCTCTTATTACAAGACAAATTGTTTACACTCAATTACTGAATGTGTGAGATGACTTTTATTTTTTAGAAGAAAACTTTCAATAAGCTGTGAGTTGAAACCAGTTATCATCATAAATACTATTATCTACTTATAAAACTGTGAAATACTTCATCCCAAGTATACAAACCCATAAAAGTACATTAAAAAAAGATTGTGTGTTTTGTTTCGTTGTACAGGAAGAGGACGATGTTCCAGAAGATCGTGGACCAGTCCAAGACTTACGAGAACTGGAACGACTGGACCAAGTACATGATGCTGGAGACCACGCGTAAAGAGATTGTCATGTAGGTACCAGCACTACACACAGGCGGAGGTACACAGTCATTACAAACAGTCACTATACAAACAGTCACTACATGTCAGCACGTGCATTGTGCCTCCAGGGCCATGATGATGACGGCCTGTGACCTGTCTGCCATCGCCAAACCGTGGGAGGTCCAGAGCAAGGTACGTGCCTGTGTGAGCTCCAGGTTTCGCTCATCGCTCACAGTCGTATTTATAAAACGGCAGCACGGCTAATGTCCAGCTGTTCGTTGAAATAAGACACACCCATGAACACGGCTCTGCGTCAGAATGACATCTTGTCAGCGGTGCCATTGCTCTCAGCGGCGATGCCTGATGGCCTCATGCATCAAAAGCAACCTGCTGCTGTTTATTCCCCTTCGTTACGAGGCAGGCTCAGCTTTTTATTTCAGGGAAGTATAATATACACGTCGCCATCGAGGCTGCAAACAGACATATCAATATGATCAGGAAGCATTTCTGCCTGTTCAACAGGCGCTGCTGCAGGGTCATTTCTTTACCTTCTATTTGTCTGCAATCGACTGAGAACATGAGACATTTGTCAGCTGCGCCCGGCTCCACGTTCTCTTATGCAAACATAAGATGGAAACTCAATAGCATTGTATCCATAATAAAAGCAGGAACGGTCATTTAAATCACATTATCTCTTCCATTTGGCAAAAAATATATAATGTTATCACCTCAGGCCTTGACAGATTATTCAGACTGCATGTTTATTATGCTCCACATGTAATGAAGGACCACAGACGTAGCTTCATTTTAAAGAGTCGCGACCTGAGATGCTTGAACATCTAATTTAGTAAATGAGCAGGAGCACTGTGCTGTTTTGACACACATCACTAAAGAAGCTATTTTCTTATCTTTTTCTTAATTTATCCTTCTCGCTCAATCATTTTCAGCCTTTTATGGAAAACAAATTATTTCGAACACTTGTTAAACATAATCCACCACTGTAGTTTGAACCCATCCAAAATATTGTTTAATTTGTTCTGTCTCATATAAAACTCAAGTTAAGAATCATGAGCCTGGTACACAACAATTTCACGTAGTTTAATAAACACCTTCTAAGTTCCGGTCTGCAATTATCTAAATTGGGGTCAGAATGATGTTAATGTTCTGCTGTGGGTTAGGGAGGCCTGCAGTATCATCAGCCAATTAAAATGGTGGCTCGTTAATATTGTTGTTAAATTAATGGACCTCAAACAGCCTCATTACATTGGAGGTTGGTGTGGATCACTGCTTGTGACCAAAATACTTTTTGGCTACAAGATTTTTAGAGTAAAAATATCATCAATCAAACCAATTTCGAACAGAAGAAAGATTTTACTTCTCATTGATCTTTTTGGTTTTGCCGGTGGCAGTAACAGTGCAACGAACCCAGTCTGCTCCATGTTAGTGGATGGGACATGGACCATATTACACATACACAAAGTCAAAGTACACATCCAGGGACAAGCTGATGATGCAATAAATTCAGTTCGACCATTGCGGCAGACGTCAGCTGCGTAGACCGGGTCCTGAACTGAGATACAACTTATGTTTTTTATTGTGGGATTCAAACTACCAGTCGTTTTCTCTCCACCAGGCTCCCATCATTACTTTATTACAGAAGTGTGTCAGTCTGTGAATCTATGAGCATGTTTACTGTGATACACTACACAACCTCTAATTATGACCATGTCCTTTATTATAACACATTTATCCTTTATCTCTCATAATCCTGAACAGCTGCTGTTGGATTATTCAAGCTTGATATTTGTTGGATATGTGTGTGGGTTTTCTTTTTCTTGGATTTCACCTTGGTCTGCTCCTGGTGAGTCAGCTCTTCATCCCACACACACTGACAGGAAACCTGCAGCAGCAGCAGCAGCAGCAGCGGCCGCCCTCCTGTGAATTCTCTTCTAAAAGTAGTTTGATAACCAACTCCTCTCCTCTGAGATGAAATCCTCCCTGAATACTGCGGCTGGATATCGTAGTTGCCAAATGAAGCCGTCTGATTTCCAGTTTCTGCAACAATCTCGATCAGAAACTTGCACATACTTGACGCTAGAACCTAAAATACGCTGTTTGTGTAAAATGAGCCTCTATCTCTGGTTTGTGATTTAAACTGATAGGAAGATTGGATTCTGCATAAAAATCCAATAAATTCAGATACATATGGATGATAGACGGACCTCCCTGAGATGTTCTGGAGAGACTAATGCTTGAGCTGCTCCAAACTTGATGAAGTGTTCCGCTGACATTTTCTCAGCTGATATTTTATTTTTCACTCAGTTCTACTTCCTACGCACAGAGAATATCTGCTGCCACAGCCTCACGGTGATTGTTCTCCCCCTAACAGGCTTGATGACTAACCCCTTTCTAAAATGAGGCTCTCTATAGTGAAAGCAGAATTTCACATATTATTCATTGGATCCCGCGTTTGCTCCATTTCTGGTTTGTGAGGGCAGACAAAACGAGCTTCATCCCATCAAGGCACAAAAAGCCCTAAAACTGCCTGGTGAGCAGTGAATAAGATTCTCATTTATGGGACACTGAAAGCTTTACAAGGTGATTTTAACAACATGTACGGGAGCTTTTCCTGCTCAATAAAACGCTCCCATGCACCAGAGAGGAATCGTGCTTCAACTGCATCTTTTTGTGACGAAAAAAAAACAAAAGTCTGATCAAATAAACAGGAAATTTAAAGGTAAAGAACTTCTGAACCGTCTGGAAATTATTAAAAACTATATAATTCATGCTTAATCAAAAATGATCATATTATCAATTATTTTTCAGCCTGTTGCATTCATGGGAGTTAAACCAACAACCTGCTGAATGAGGGCAGTGATAATAAGAAGAATGAATAATTATGATAAGACAATGTCATTGATGCTTAGCTTCCAATTTAGTCACTGAAGGTTAATTTAAACTCAAAGTTAGAAGTTCTTCTGTTCTTCTGACCATTTGCTGCGTTCATTCTGTCCAATATTTGTGTTCGTCCTCTGAAAGCTTACAGATACGGACAAAATAGTGCAGTACTACCAGAAATCTTTGGGGGCAGTGTAGTCAATATTTCAAGTGAGAGAATAACGACACACGAGGAAGAATTGCTGTACGCTGCAACTCTTTGTAAAGAGACATTGCGAGATGTTCAGATCACCTGCTTTCAGAAGTGCTGCCCACTAGTGGATGTATTGCTTGGTGCCAATGGACGTATGCGGGCAGCGACAGATACAAATCTTTTCGCACGTAAATGCAGCTGAGCCATAATATTTGCAAACCACTGAGGAGCATGTACTCTTTCATTTCATGCACCGAAATTGTTCTGCAGCATAAGACAATGTCAACTTGATGATATTTTAATATGACTTTTCTAAACTTTCACACCCCCCTCTAGGTGGCGCTGTCTGTAGCTGCAGAGTTCTGGGAGCAGGGAGACCTGGAGAGGACGGTCCTGGAGCAACAACCCATTGTAAGAACACAGTTAGAAACATCTGCTCCAGTGGTGCTGCTGCGCCGTGACCTCTGACCTCAGGGAGGATATGAATATAGATATAGATGGATATAGATATAAATATAAATTGAATGATGAGATTTAAATGTGGTAAGTTCCTCCTTTACTCAATTCTGCAGTTTTTATTTTGTTGCAGCAATAAATAAAACTTTATTTGTTTTATTATAGGGGAAGAAACTACTATAACATTTATTGACTTATAAAAACGTTTTTTTATTTCTCCATATCTAAGTAGAAAACCTGAGGAAACTAAAGAATTATTTCTGAGTACAGTACCGACGTCCTCTCTGACCGGTTTAATCAGACGCAACAAAATCCCAGTGATCCGTCCTCTGTTACTGAGAAAACTAGTTTCACCCAATTTGTACAAAAGATATTAAAATGTTCAGAAGCATCCAGTCAGAACCTGGAAGCCAAATAGTTTCCTTTAATACTTTCAAACAATCTGCACGCTTGTAGTTTTTCCTTTCCACCTGTAAATAAAGTTTTGAACGAACCATGTAAATCTCTTAAAACGAGCATCTCTGCCTTCAGATTGAACTTCACTGTGCAGCGTCGCCCTTCGAAAAGACGCCCTCATGTCAGAGCTGTGAGAAAGTTCATTCAGGCCTTAATTCCTGGTAAACCGTGATCAAGCGTTGCAGCCTTCGTCTTTTCTTTCCCTCGTCAGTGAGTCGCCGAGTCCACTGCTGACAAAACACAAACTGATCAAAGTGAAAAAGTTTTCGCTGCTGACACAGATGCTAGTGTTTCACGGAGCTTCTCGCTCGTCTGTGTCTGGAGGATGTGAGGGAATGCAACAGAGGGATGAGAGGCAGCCGGGGGAGGGTACGGTCGGCTGGGTGAGGGCCACACTGACCGCTCTTTCCGTATCACTGCTCCAAATAATGGTCCAACACTGCCGCCACGGGGAACTGAATCCGTCTTTTCCTTTTGTCTTCTGTCTGCAGTTCGTCTCTTGTTCCCCTTCGCATCTCGTCTCCTATTCTAAATTGAAACCCGGAGGAAAACTCTGTCTTGTCTTGATTCCCATAATTCCCATGACTCCAGTGTCGACCCACTGTCAAACTTTAGCTTACTGGCACAAAGTTACAGAAGAAGGAAAAATATCTAAATCACATGACTTGGACATGTCCAGGATCGAGAACCTGAATGATTTATCAGCTGGTCGATAATATCGACTTATTTTACAGAATAAAATACAGAAATGATTGATATTCATGTTTATGTTATCGTTCATGAATATTGTTCATTCCCTTAATTCAGGTTCTATATATTTGACAGTGTTGGTGTTTGTATTCATAGTTATTTATAATAAAGTCAAAAATATCAACATAACTGACAATTTCTTTATTTTCAGATTCTGCAGATTTGTCGCTATTTGAAATTTTAAACTTTAACTTGGTATTTTCACAACAAACATGTTACAATAAAATTTAAAGAAGTTTCTGACACAGCACAGGACGACAGGAATGTATAACAGCTGCGTTACTGCACTTCTATCACATATCTGAGTCCTACAGTGCGTTAATGAAATTAATTCATATCTTAGATTTAAACCCAAACATTTTACTGAGCTTTAACAAGATTTTCATTAAACTGATTAATACAAATATCAACAGTTTCTTTCCAGTTGAAAACTATAGTGTTATTGTGTCAATTACGACACCAACACACTTTCCTCAGTTATTCTGATTGACTACAATGTTAAAGATAAAGATAATGAAATTTAAGCGTTTGGTTTTTCATTCAAACACTTTTCTCTCTCCTCTCCAGCCGATGATGGACAGAAACAAAGCGGACGACCTGCCGAAGCTTCAGTGTGGTTTCATCGACTTTGTCTGCACGTTTGTGTACAAGGTCCGACACACAAACACGAACACAAGCACACACTGCAGAACACACTAATTTAAAAGATCAGAGCTAAACTGTGGGTTAGTTGAGTCCAAACTGGATTTCAGGAAAACCTTTTAAAGTTCTGACCCACAGATTGTAAATAAAGAGAGTGAAGCCAACATCTGTATCCAGGCTAGTTTAGCTTCAGTTATATACGTGTCATCCATCTTTATTTACGGTTATTGATCGAACCCTTCTTTTTTGGGGAGTATCTATTTCTATTTTCAACAGAATTACCATAATTGCCTTTGTTCGCACCATGTGAGGCTCATTTGTCTGTGTCCATTTAATAAACTGATTCTTATAAACAAGCTGTGCTCCTTTTATATGTTTTATTGTACGTGACATTAATTTGAGTCAACTCCTCGTTCCTCAGGAGTTCAGCCGCTTCCACGTGGAGATCACCCCGATGCTGGACCGCCTGCTGAACAACAGGAAGGAGTGGAACGCCCTCAAGGAGGTGCACGAGGCCAAAATGGCCGCCATCGAGGCAGTCAAGAAAGCCAAGGAGGAGGAGGCTCAGAATGCTGCTGGAGCCAAACAAGGTGGGAGGCTCTCAGACGCGTGGACGCTCAGAAACAATGCATTAGTCTCTTTTTTCATGTGGGAGGTAAATGACTCTGAGCCAAACTGTGCACGTGCCAATTCTGAGTTATATAGAGCAGGAAATGTACGACAAACCTGCAGAGAAACACACAAATGCACAGTTGTTAGAAATTGTAAAAATGCTTTGAATGCATTTTTCTTTATCGCTTTGAATGATGAAAAAATAACTTCCTCTTTTCCTTTTTCTTCTTTCTTTCCTTGCCTCCTGCAGCGAGCGCAGCCCAGTCACAATCAAAGACTTGTATTCTCAGCTAAAGATGCTACGACAGCAGCACGTCGCTCTCTACATAGTTTTTCGTCCAACTCTGGATTTCCTAGATTTTATTATGGGATGTTTGAGATCCCACCTGAAATATAAAGTTCACTGAGAGGACACCTCTGACTTCTAACACTTGTTAAAGTCGTCTCAGCTGCATTTACTGAAATCTGCCTGTGCACTGCTTCCTCCTGCTTTGTGTCACTCATTAGATGCACTGGGCTTCACGGTGAGTTCAGGTTTTTGTAGGAAGCTCTGACATCTGAGAGTCAGTCACATAAATGTATTATACGCAGCCGGCTGCCTGAAAACAAGAAATGTTGCATTGAAAATGTTCTCGTTGGCAACTCAAGAGCTTAAAGTGTCAGTGTTTTCAATACACCAACCAGAGAAGTTTCTAAAAACAGTCACTGCTTACACAGCAACTCCGTGCACGTCTCTTTAAAGCCATTATAATGCTGCTCTGGCATAAACTGAAACCAGCAGCTGCCTGAAAAGCTCTGCTGTAGAAACTGTAGAAACTGTTACAGCAGCAGCTAATGGGCTCCAACATGCAAACCATCAGTTCTAAGTGTCTGTGACAGTCGCTGCGGAGAATCTGCAACTTTCTAATCTGTGTTTAATCAGCAAATGTTTAAACCAGTGTCTCCATGTACCAGCCTGGATATTTAGGTCTGGAGTTCATGCTTTAAGATAATATTTACTACGTCTGCAGTCTGAGGAAGTCAGACAGTTTCCAACGTGACTGAAGCACATTTATACAGAACGATAAAAATGATGTGAATCACAAAAAGATCCAAGACAATCAAACTAAAGCTGCAGTTTGACTTTGAGGGGACATTTGGTATAAAGTTATTTGCATAATCTTCTGTATTTGCTTTCAGGGCCTGACCATTTCTATCCTCTAATACCAATATCTTGATTAATATGTATCTTTAAAATGATGGCATTCATGATTTCCTGGATATCGTTGTCAAACCATAATAACAAAGACATGTAATTGAGGCTTGATTCTTTACAAAACCTTCACTAATCACAAACAGATATAACATGAAAAATAATATTGAACATAAACATATTCTAATGTAAAATATGAGCATAACTGCACATCTCTTCTCCATTGTCTGTTCTGTAAAAAATACGTTTTCATATCGCAGAAATAAACGCTCTCATAAATCGATCAGGCTCTTTTCAGATTTGTAGATTTGTGGTTATTTTAGGAGGCAGCTGTATCACCAGGCTTTTCAATCGTGTTGGTGAATCACCTCTTTTGTATTTCTGGCTCTCTGAACTTCAGCTGTGTTGACACGTTTCAGCCTGCTTCATTTTCTTGCTTTTAAATATTCTGAATCGTCACCATTATGATGCAAATGCAGATGGAATACATTAGCAACGTTTTTGCAAAATACTGTAGCTGCATTGTTTTTGTGCTTTTACTGTGACACATGTTACAAGATATAAGTTGACGTGAACCTTGTTTAGCGTTAAAACTGATGCAGATCCGCAGAGAGGAACTAATGTCATCACTTTCATTGTAGTTAGTAATCTGTAATTGCTTAGAAGTCATTTTGCAGATTTGAGTAAAAAAAACGCTATTTTCATACTGTATCACTGGCGTCCATGTTTTTACTGACCTGTGTGTGTGTGTGTAGTTTGTGTAGTTGGTGTTGTGTGTTAGATATTGTGTGTGTCTGTGGTTAAATCTAAAAAAATATATGTATATATTCAAAAATATGAAACATATGGATCAGATTGTGTTTACGTGCTCTGTCGACTCTGTAGTTTATTGTGGAAACACACACCCTGTGAGTTAGTGCTGTTGTGTGCATGTGTGTACGGTGTGTGTGTGTGTGTGTGTGCGCACTGATCTATGGAGAAAGTAGTATTTAAATATTCCGGTCATTCACTTAGTCTTATTACTGAAGTGTTTTGTAAATCCTATTTAAATGCACTTTTGCAGTCGCTTCTCTTATGTTTGCTAATCTCTCGTTGCGCTTGAATTTAACTCTCCAGAGAATCTGGGAAAAGTTTTTAACCATGAGGATTTATGACTCAGCAAATATCTGACTGACAGTTGAGAAGAGGAGCCGACCAAGAGCTGTGCAAAAAAATATTCCCCTGAACTTTCCTGCTGATATACATCAGTTTAATACCAGGAGAAAAAAAAACTAAATTACCAGCTTGTTTTCCCACGTGACAGATGTTTATTGCTTCTTCAGAGGTTTTCCGGCTCTGAATTAATCTGTAGATATTAAGTACTTTTCTCCCAAAATCCCAGAAAGCACAGGTCAAAAGTGCTCCAGGCTAAAATGACTGAAATCTATAGGATTATTTTTGCAACAGAATTCTGATGATTTTATTCAAGGTGAGATTAAACTAATGTTTAAACTCTAATAATAATACATTTCATACATATAACATATATATAACCTTACAAATTTACAAAAGCATGATAACATATATATCAAGCAGCTCTGAACCCATACACATGAATGTACATGTATAATAATGTTTGCATTGTTTGTTTTAATATTGTACTGTAAGTATAATATGTGTTTACCGTTTACCAGATCTGTGTGGGAGCAGCTCGTCCTGAGGAGAACGTACGGCTCACTGTGAGAAATGAACCTCCAGCACAAGGTAAACACACATTAAACTTCCAACACGAGCAAATAAAATCAAACAAACCTAAGTGAAGGTGTCGTAAGAAAATCAGAGAAACATTCGTCCTCTTTTCTAAACAGGTAGAAAAACCTTCTCGTATTTTTACTGTACCATGAAAAAATGTGAGTCTTCTGCAGGATTGCTGCATAAACAATATCTTCCACAACAGCTGACGACGTATAAATAGCTGTCAGCTGCACTTTGCATTTGAATGTGTTTGTGTGCACATGAGTTAACTCTCCCACCTAGAACGATGCATAACACTGTTACAAAACCCAGCGTGATGCCAGAGCAGGATAATGAACAGTGATCACCACTGGAGCTGCAGCAGGAGCTAAACTCCACACCACCACCCCCCGTCTCTCCCCCCAACGTTGAAATAATAATAGCATGGATACATAATCTGCATGTGACGTCACCGGTGTGTGTGTGTGTGAGACGTAGGCCCCCGTGACGTCGGCAGCCGTGACGTAAGTGCATGATGGGAGCTTAAAGGATTGCCGTATACGGTTGTGATGATCAGCAGAGTGTGTGAAGCTCTGACGCAGAGGCAACCCGTGACTGCAACGGGGGGAGGGGGGGCAGCAGCTGCAGTACACCCAGGGAGCCTGCAGGAAGGCAGCTCCAGCCTCATTCCAGCAGGGATCGGGGGCAGTCGTGACTGCAGAGCTGCCAGCCTGCGAGCCACAGCACAGAGAGAGAGAGAGAGAGAGAGAGAGAGAGAGATGTGGGATATTTATAGGACGACTGTGCAAAAGGGTCGGCTGCAGTTTCCAAGCAGAGGAAGTCACTTGACTGGTTCGCTCAAGCTTTTCTTGTCCCGGCAAATTCTCATCAGCATCACTGCAGCGCTGTCGTACGTGATGCTAGAATCACATGATGTGTTTACATGACATCGTTTCAGGTAGTGATGAGTCTGCAAGCGTCAGACCTGCAGGTTTTCTACACCAGGAGTCTCTTTGTGGTGAACTTGACCTCCAGTTTACCTCTTTAGGTTCCTCTCATTTCTTACTGTCAGACATTTATACATCATATATATATGAAGACTTTAAAGTCATTAAAGAGTTTTCACCGAATTAAATAAGAATTCCCATAAATGTATTGCTACATTATTTTATTACCTCCACCCAGGGCAGGTTTGTTTTTGTCTACATTGGTTTGTTTGTCAGTCTTGTGTTATAAGGTATTATATGTTTTATAGCAGGATCTGGATCAGGCTCCAGGACTGTTCTTTTCACTTTATTTAACAATTTGGTGCAGATCCAAATATAAATCTGGATGTAGTGATTATAAAAGCTGCATTCTACTCGCGATAGCTCTACATGGCAAATAAAAAAGATAAATTCTAGTTCGATAAAAAGCTCTGGATTCAAAATAAATTGGTTCTCGGAGACTGAAAGACTTTTGTCTCTGAAAAATGTGAAATAGCTGCAGAGATGAATTTTGACCTTTTTCAAAGACACAGTGATATAAAGGTCACAGAAGGAGATGTGACCTCGAGAGAACATGATGACGTGACCTTTCTCCATCACGTCATTTCTCACCTTTCTTTTAAAACAGACAGAAAACCAGAGCAAATCATCTCAGTGGTGTTTGTGTCCGTCCAGATTCAAACGTCTCATGAGGACAACGCACAGACAGTAACTCGAGGATGTGAACAGAAACCAACACCATCACAAACTGCAACACACTGCATCTGTTCTATGACACCAGATACTCGGGACGTTCAGAGGAGAACTATTTCTAGCAAAGGGAGAAAATATATTCCTGAATTATATACAGTATAATTTGTTACTTACATTTACCCACCTTACAGTTTCATATCATATTGTTTTGTCTGTTATGAGGCTAACGTACATATAAATATTACACATCAACAACATCCAACACATAGACTGTAAATAACAATGTGATGCCAAATGAAACAACACTAAATACTTTTGAAATATTCTTATCAGTTCTTATCACACTGATGTAGGTTCAAGTATGTTTTATTTTTTGGGAGTAAATTCGGAGACACATCATCTTTATTTAGAGTCTAGAATATAGAGTCAACACAATATAATAAATACAAATTAGAGCCAAGACGAAGAAGAAAACTAATAAATTCAAGCTTTAGGTTTGAACAACAGAATTCAGTGAGTCATTAGTTTGTGTATGTGGGTCTGAGCTCAGGTGGATTTCCCAGATATATAAAACATAATTTCTAAGATGAACTAATTACAATGCAATTCAATGCATAGTTAATTGGTTTTGAAAAGTTCACCCGTCTAAATAAAAGTAAAAAATCCATTGCATCTGGCAAAGTGTGGAGAATTATTAACATAAAAATTCACCCAAACAAAGTCAAACTGTTTTCTTTCTGATCACATTTCACCGACTGCTAGAGTAAATGTTGTTCCGATGCCATAATCAGTGTAAAATCACTGTCTGACATCAAATAATATGTTTCCCAGTTAAACATTTCCACACAGCTCATTGGTCTGTGATATGTGCAGAAGAAAAATTCCATGTCGCAAACATCGAGACTGATTTTCTTTCTCATGTAACGATTCTTTTACCAATAACTGGCCTTCAACTCACTTTAGAAACGGGCCGAACTTCTGCCTTGTTGGTTGTCGTGCAGTTTGAGGGGGGAGGGGTCTCGACCTCTGATTGATTGGTTGAACGATCAATCTTTTGGCTCTCGGACAAACGCTTGGATTTCTGGAACATCATAGATTTTGGCTGGCAGCTTGAGTGGTTCCAAACTCCAATATATCCCACATGGCTGCTGTCATAAGATCAATTATAAACTGTAGTGAGCCTTTTTTATTATTGAAGTTGTATTTCACATTATGGTCACTAAAAGTCTCGAGTGAGGCCGCTGTGATATAAAATTGAATTACGCTGCGGAACAGACAGAACATAATGTCTGCATCTATACCAGCCATCTGCGGCTCCACATTTTATTTCTTTCCTCCTCTTCTCCAGTCATGGAAGCCTCGCACAAAGAAATGCTGAGGACGCAGTCGTCTTGTTTGAATAAACTTTACTGGAACTGTCATCAGACAAAACAAACTCAGGGTTTCATGCTTACGTTCAACATGAACACACACGTCAAGTGATCCTCACAGAAACATCACAACTACAGCTGAAGTAATGAAGCATTCCTCCTGTTGGAGAAGTTTGAGGAAAAATAGCCATTAGTGTCTGAGAGTGTCTCCTCCTGAAACCTCACAGGGATGACACTGTGTGTGTGTGTGTGTGTGTCTGTATGTGTGTAATAACACTGCAGTGCAGAGCTCTGTTTGCTGCAGTCACGACTGCCCGGCAGAAACGTCCACACAGAGGCCAGTAGGACAGGAAACGACAGCGTGACTTCTAATTGTCTCCTTTCTCCTCTGTCTGTGGGCTGTGAAATTAATCACCAGAGACAAAGACGGCTAATTCTTTAGAAATTAACTGTATCAACCAAAGCAAAGTTCAATCGCATAAATAAATGTGGTCGTCATCTGACTGTAATTTGAAGTTCACTGTGTGAGTTGGGAGCTTATTGAGGAAACGCAGCTAAAACCACTCGGACACAACAGAACTGTCCCTTCATGAAGGTCAAAGTGATTCAGCTCTACAGAAGCTGCAGGATGTGACACACGTTAATTTCATATCCATAGTTCTGGTGTCTATAGATTGTTGGGTGCGTTGTTGATCTACTTATTAAAAAAACATTTCTAATAATAATCAGACAATTGCAATATATATATAAAAGTCACAAAGTGCTTAACAGAAAGAAAAGGCCACTCCGAGAGTTAATCCAACAAGGCTGACGTCCTATCTCATCACGATAAAGAAAGTTAAAATCCCAAATCTGCCCAATTCTCAGGATCCGCTCCATTTGAATGATTTCTACTTCAATTCTGGGTCATTGCGGAACCCTTCATAAGATTTTCTATGAATCCTTTCAGTAGTTTCTGAGTAATCCTGCTTACAGACTGATAAACAAACACGCCAATGAAAACACACCCTGCAGGTGGCAGTTACCACAGCTGTTGTAGCTGGTGCACAATGGAGAATAAAATCATTTATAAGTAACTTATCAAACATATTTTGAGCTAAATATTTACTAATATATTATCTCTAGCATGTCTAACAAGGTATAAACACATGTACAGCATTGCCTCTATGATGCTTTGGTTTGGATGCAAGTGGATTATTTCTCAGAGCATGTCCCACAGGTTTCTACTGCAGAACCAGGAAGCCCCAAACAGGAAGTCGTCAAAACAGGAAGTTGTTCTAAACCGGAAGTGACATCACTGTGTGAAGCATATGGATAAATAATATAACCAATAAGTCTTTTGACTGTTAATTAATTTTCCATCCTCCACTTGCAACCAAAAGTAGGCATCAACAAATGATTTAAAGAAAAGGAATGACTTAAAGGCATTAACAGTTTGGTTTTAATTAGTTATTTGGTGGAGGAACCTCATGATTGACAGCTGAGACTCGTGATTGGTCGAGTTTGTATCACTCCAAATGACGTTACTGACACAAGAAGGCAGATTTGAATAGTTTGAACAAGATGCAGGTTTCAGACCAGACATGGGAGAGTTTGAACAAAGTTGTGTGCAGAACAAGGAGCAGCACAAACTGGCCCACATTAATTTTCTCACCTGGAATCCTTGTCATCGATGATATATTGCCCCAAGCTTGATTAGAGAGAGGTTAAAGTTACAGAAGTCTGGGAGTTCAGACCTTTTTTAAATGGATGAATGAAGTTGCTGCATCATGGAGGTCATCTCATCTGGGGTCAGAGAACAATTTAGTTTAACTTTGGACGTGGAAAACGAGCACAGTGCACGACGCCACGGTTCAGAGGATTTTAGATTTCATTCATCCTCGTTGTCTCGGAGCCCGTGTGAAATGTAAATGCTCTCATGTTTTCTTTTCTTCAGTTGATAGTGTGTTTGTGACAGGAAACAAGAGACAATCAGAGCTGCTGGTGTAGCGATGTCCCATGCATGGACATCATCAGTGCAGTCACTGACAAGTGAATCACGGTCTAGCCAGGCGGAAAATTGCCAGCGGCCTGTTAATAGGGTGCTGTTTAACCAGGGGAAGACTGGAGAGAGGGAGCGCCCATTAACCCTCTCCACAACATTGATAGGTTGATCACAGCAGTCGTACAATACGCTCCGTCTTGTGTAAACATGCCGACACCCACTTTATACAAACACACATAAATAACAGTGTTTGTTTGTGTGTGTGTGTGTGTGTGTGTGTGTGTGAGGAACGGCTCCTTGAAACTTGACTTTTATTCTGTTTATTCTGTGTCACACTGAATGAGATGATTTGTTGCAGCAGGAAGTACCAACAACAACTGATATTCTACTAACTCATGATCCTCGTGAGTATTTCAAGACAGGAAAGTGATGCATTATAGACTCTACAGATGTCACCATGAAGCGTCTGTAGTTAATAACACGAAGCAATCATTTTCAGAAATTACGTGTTTCTAAGCAAATATTAGTTAATTCGCAAATATTATTAGGATTATTAGATAAAGCCATGGTTTCATGTTGTTGATTTATGAGAGTCAAACCTTTTCACAAAGGGGATTTTGAATATCTCTTATTCTTTCATAAATCCGAAATTACTACCAACTGCTGTTAAATTGTTTTTAGGAAGAAAACGGGAATCAAACTATAATTTGATGTACTGGACAGATTTCTATCTGAGTATGAAAAATTCGTTTATTGTGATATTTTACATCTAATCCCATAGAAAGTCAAAAAACCAATTGCTTCTTCTGACAATAATCCTCCAAGCATTTAAAGCCCGATGTGACCTCACTCGTCTTTGCTTTGTTTCTTCATTTCACAGCCACTGCAGCTCATTTTGACCCACATACACGTCATGCTGCAGAAAATACTCACCGGAAAACCAAGTCTATAATAAGATTAGCTGCTGAAACTAGTCCCCACAAAATGCACAACCTAGAACAGATTGCTAAAAACTAAAGTGCCCTGAGCTTTCAGTAAAGTACAACCTTTTCAAAAAACATTTATTCGAAATATTTGTCTTCACTAGATCCTTAATCCTTGCATCCAAATGAATTATTGCCTTAAATGTGAAAGCATTCCCTAGATAACATGTTCACAAGGTAAAAGATTTTCTTTGTCAGGCCACTGTGACCTTGACTTTCGGCTACCAAAATCTAGTCGTTTAATCCTTGCATCCCATTTCAGGATTGTGTTAAATGTGAAAGAATTCCTTAAGACGTAACAAATATATCATGTTCACAAGGTAAAATATTTTCTTTGTGAAGCCACCGTGACCTTGACTTTTTGCAAAATCTAGTCGTTTAATCCTTGTGTCCCAATGAATGATTGTGCCAAATGTGAAAGGATTCCCTTTAGACATTACTGAGATATCCTGTTCACAAGGCAAAATGATTGTTTTGTGAGGCCACCATGACCTTGAATATTGACCTTTGGCTACCAAAATCAAATCAGTTAATCATTGACTCCAAGTGAATGTTTGCACCAAATCTGAAGAAATTTCCTGAAGGAATTCTTGAGATATTGGACGTACGGATGGAGAACCTGAAAAATTGCCACTGGCAACTGGCCTTAAAGAGGCATAAAAATATATAATCCCAGCTGAGACCAAACATTTGATAGATCAACCTGTGAAGATTAGTTAGAAAACCAATAGGGAACAAAATTATAAACCTAAAATGTAGCGTAAGATTTCTTATGTTTTGAGATATCATCGATCAACAGTGAGCTCATCTAAATCTAGATCTTTTTCTTGTAATGTCAGAAATAACATGAGCTCCGAGGTGCTGTTCATTAGGATTTTATTTTTTGGAGGCAAATCAATGAATATGAAGCACGATTAAACCCGAAAAAACACACAGGGGTGTGAATATTTTCTGGACTTTCTGCAGTCGGTTAACGTTGCACAACCAGGGGAATCCTTACAGATGGATACCAATGAGTTTAAATGAAACAGTGACTTTCTATTTACTCTGAGTTTCATGTCTGTTTCCCATTCACTGTCATTTCAGTGCAATCTCGTCTTTCTCAGCCTATACAGGTGGATAACTCTGTCGTACTTGTGTCAGCTGTCAAGTTAACATACCAGTAATAATGACGCATTTTGTATTGTGTGACTTAAAAAAAGAAAAAGGCATCAGATGCGTAAATCACCCGTCGGGTTTCAGTCTGTGGACTAACCCTAACCTAATAACTGTGGGTTTTTTTACTTGGGTTTTTGATCTCAGTGGCTCTCCCTGAATGTGAATCTCTCCATAATTTTCTTTCAGTCGAACAGTTTGATGTTTAAAAGTCCTCCACAAGCTGTTCATTTGGATGATTCCAGTTGATCTTATCCTGTTGCCTTCTTCTATGTTGTATTTACATTTTCACTTTGATTTTTCAACAGCCTCAGTTTTCTGTTGTCCTTCTTTATCCTCGCTCTCGTTCTTGTTGTCTGGCTTTTCTTCTTTTGGATCACACTCGTCCTTAGATTTCTCATCAGTTTTACGCTCACAGTAATCTTCCTCTGCTGTGCTGCTGTCTAACTGCCCCTCACACTCATCTGACTCATCCCCACTCTTGCCTTCTACTTGTTGGTCTGGATCTTGGAGGGCAGCGTTTTCAAATGTATTGGTTTGAGTGTTGTCTGAATGTTTTGGTGTGGGGCTCTGAGAGGTGTCTAAATATAGATTATCTTCTGCCTGTTCTCCATCTGATTCACGTTCATCTCCAGAAACAGTTTTTTCCATTTCTGGGTGGTCGTCTTCTTTCTTGTGTGTTTCTTCCTGTGACAACTTTGAGTCTTGTTCATGTGAAGCAGTTTCTGACATGTTCTGCTCAGGAGCGGTGGGCGGCTGCTCCTCCTCAGTTGACTCGTCTGCTTCAGTACTTTTCTCTGGTGAGTGAGATTCAGTTTCCCCATGAACCTGATCTGAGTTGGTCTCGTCCTTGTATTCACCAGCTGTGTCTTCCATTCCCTTATCTGGAGAGTTTTGGGTCAAAGGCTGAGTAGGAGGAGGGGGGACATTTGCTGCAGGAGACTTTTCTTCTTCAATTTCATCTTCCTCCTTCTCTGATTCTTAAACAGATTCAACAAAAGATAAAGATATTAGTATAGAAACTGCGCATATCTGCTCAGCATTCGCAAAAGTATTAAATCAAAGCAGTTTTTGTTTGAAACCTTCAGAGTCAGTCTTACTTGATGGAAGTTTTTGCAATGACCAAAATTAAGAAACAGTTTCTTGAGGGTGTCTGCAGGTTTCAACAAGTAAAATTAAAGACTTTTTAAAGCCTTTTTTAGACCATGATGATTTAAATTTAAGACTTGTGTCAAGAGCGACAGATATGAAGGAATATTGGAATCCTAGAATTACTCATTTCAGGTAAAGTGGTCTCGTAGAGAATAACCCTCAACACACCTCGGCATGTCACAGACTACAAGCAGAGACAGTGGGTATCAATAGTCTTTCCCACAGCCAAGCAGAGTGCACTGAGAAAAAGAACTAATGTGGTTCAGAGAGTGTGGACTCTATACCTGGCTGTGCAGAAGCAGCAGATGATTCCACATCAGACTGAGTGTCCTCACCAAAGTCCAACACACCAACTGGGCTTGCTACATTTTCCTCATCCGAGTCTGAAGGATCACACTCCAGGACCTGGTCTGAAGGTCCAGGGACCTGATCTCCATCTGCATCGTCTTTGTGGTTGCTGGAGGGATTGTGCTGGTCCTCAGAGAAAGATGGTTTTCTGCCGAGAGGCAGCGAAACGGGAGGAGACACCGTTTCTTCATCAGTGCTCTTCTTTGAACCTGAAACTTAAGCACACAGACACAGTCAGAGGAGCAGTGGCACAATAACATTTATTGAGAGGATTAATCAACAATTATTTTATGTCACCATTTAGGCGATTAGATAAAATCATTAAACNGGAAGCCATAGTCTTCTGTTTTAAACTATTTACATGAATTAAAATATAATTTATAACATCAGATACTTCCGCTTCTATGAAACTAGATTTTAACAATTCAAAAATACTGAAATGCCTTTGTCTCCACATTCTCAAGACACATGAAATCACACAAAATGAAGAAAAGAAAAAAAAACACCATTTAAAGATATCCAAACTAAGTGGCGTATAAATAAAAAAAGAATAACGCAAAATAAAACCAACATATGTAAAAATATAAAATCTCACTAGCAGTATTTACCTTTTTGTTTTACCAAAAACTAAGTTAAAAAAAATCATTTGTGAATTTGATAGTCATTAGATGTAAATAGACAATGAAATCAATAGTAATAACAAAAACAATGTATGCCCTTATGTCAAAGTATTTTCTTCCACCCAAAAAAACACCCACTCACATTTAGCAGATTTTGACAGTCCCTACTAAGTTCCTATTTGACATCACTGTCGCCGTCAAGTTTCACAGATTAACCTTTAATTAACTGTTGATGCTGAAATGTGACACAATCACTTGCAGATCAAACACGAGGCCGGACTCGGGCCGGTATTGCAAGCGCTCCTCTCCTGGTTGGGGCTAATTCGATGGCGTAGCTTGACAGATACATTGTTTTCCTGAACTCAAAGAAACATTAAGTGACGTAAAAACAAGGAAGTGGGCCATGGAGTTGGAAACATGACGCATATAAAACTGAATCTGACACGGCTGCAGAAAACGTCGTGTTTTCCACGAGCCGTCACAAACTTTATCCTTGAAGTTTTCTCTATTTTTTTGGTCAACTTGCCTGTCAAGTTTTATGGTTTTCTTGCCATTTTTCCATTTTTCGCAAATGAATCGTGGAAAGAAAGGTATTGCATTCTGATGAGGGTAATTCCCTTTGGAAGTTTTTTTTTTTAAAACGTTTTTATTTTTCTATTTGGATTCGTTGCCCATCGACCTATGACCGAGACCCAGCGGACAGCGGTATTATGTTGAAATGTGTCAACGTGTTCTCAAAACACTGAGGAGAATGGTCAACATCAAAGTTTTCTATAAGAAAGTATATAATCTTCTAGATATCTACACAAACACACAAATATATATTCATATATATGTATATACCTTTTTATAATATGGCTATTGAAAAAAGTTTTAATTACGTCAGTAATTACTTAATAATAAACCACATTGGATTGGAAAGGAGTTGAAACAGAAATAGTAAAAGCTAGTGGTAGCTTTGTTCCCCCCCACCGATTGATATTTAAGGCTCGCCATGATGAGAAATGGAGTCGATTTGATGTTGTTCACCTCTTACAACTCGTCACAGGCACAGCGGCGGCCACTGTAGAAATCCCAGAATGTGCTCATGGCTCAAGGTTTCCTCAAATACACGGAAGTCTGACTTTGGATTATATGAAGACACCTTATGTTTCTCCTACACAAATAGGACGAAGCAACAGGTTTAATGGAAACTAGCTTTGCAACATAAAGTATTTTATAAAGTAACGTTTTTGGTCATCTGTGAGAAATGCAAAATATCAAAATGTCCATATGGGTTTAAAGGCAGTTTTTCCCTCTTGTTCACAACCTTCAACTTTCGCTAAGAAAGTCGTGTTATTTTTGTCCCTGTTGGTTGGTCTGTTTACGCAAAATTTACTGATCACATTTCCACAAAACTTGGTGGAAGGGTGGGACATGGGCCAAGAAAGAAACCTAGACAAAGGGATTTTCTATTTCCTCTACATTGGGTCTTGAAATGGCTTTGGTGAGAGTGTCCTCTCTACAGAGGGCCATTTTAGTTTAAGTAAATTGCCCAGTTCCATTTTGCTACTGTTCTTCTTTAGTGTCCCCAACTGCAAACTGGACCATTATACGATTCTGTAATCTGTGTTTTGTTGTAAATATTTTAAACCAAATGCTTCCTTTGTTTTGCGATGCAGTAAAAGTTCAGCAGGGAAATTGGGATTTCTACAGTGTCGACCTCGTCTGCATAAACCCATTTTAAAAATGGGGTCAAACCAGCGACAACTTTCTTTTTTTTCCTTCCCTCCCACATTCCTCTACCATCGTTATACGTATATAATTATTAACTGTAATACAAGTGTCCAATGCAACTCAGATTCTAACAAACCTGTGCACCAACAAAATGTGGTAATAACATAGTTACAACAGCTTCCTTTCGATAAGAAGAAAATATTCTGGCAATGTTTTACTACTTGGGACATTATTTGTGCAAGAGTATATTATTACGGTTTGTTTTGTATACGTGTTACGTGTTTACGAGACGACCGACCACATTCTTCCTGCGATTGGTTTTTATGATTTTTTTAGTTTCACAGCAGTCAACATACAGTACAGTAACCTACTGAATCTGCAGCTAAAAGATTGCCCGTGTTGTGGCTCAACAACCGACCATACACTGTACATTATTACCTCAGTGTTTCAGAAAGGCTGTCTTAAAGATAAGATTATTATGTATTGCATCTCAAATTGCTTTTTTTTTTTTTTTTTTAAAGAAAACAGAAAAGAAAAAAAGAATCAAAAAATATTTCATCATTTATAACAGCAAAGAAATAGAACCTTCTAGAGTGATAGTCTAAAGGGATTTTTTTGTCTTTCGTTTTACAACAGTGTCGGACTTTGGGTGAAGTCAATGTAAATTTATTTTCCCTTCATTTCCTCCCTGCAACATAAACTCAGTGACCTGAACGTCTCCTGACTGATGAGCAATAAACTGTGACCCGCCACCTTTAAAACAAAAAAACACACAATATATTTCATGTTTACAATGAGGCATAGTGCTATATACACATTATATATTCATAATATATTTTTTTTAACATGTAAACCAGCACATTCTCTCACTTTTTAGTAGTATACATACTAAGCACAAATACTCATTCAGTTGTTTGCGATTAGTTTTGTTATAATTATTATTTTTTTTTTTCCCCCGGAACCTTGTTTCTTAATCAGTATGTATAGCACTAAATTGTTTTTTAGTTTTGGACATCTGTGAGCCTGGAGAGGGTCCATCCTTCTAGGCCACTTCACTCGGTTATATATATATAATATATATATATATATTTATATATATATCTTTTTTTAAAAACACTGAATAAGGCGCCTTTGTACTTAGTGTGCGTTCCTAATAAAGTCAAAGGAGAATCGAGTGATGTAAACATTCAATTTTTTGTGTGTGTTACCAAGGAGTTGATTAGATAGAGAAAGAACAAGGTAGGAGAACGGGGGAAAGAGCGGTTATTTGTTAAAAAGGAGGACTTTACCAGGGTTTGGACTCAACCTCTACACGAGATGTTGAATCCAGAAAGCGACAGAGTTAGAGATAGAGACGGAGGAAGAGTCCGGCTGTGTTTTATTGAAATCCTCAGCCGAGGAGAGGTGGAACAGGGAAGTCCGGATGGATGGTGTGTCCCCAAAGAAACAAAGATTAGGAATCTTCCAATCCGAGTGCACTCGGGTACCGACCAACCACCAAGCCACCGTTCAACCCCTCCCGACCCTTCCTCACCAACCCGCAAGCGTCAGCAGTGTCCGACTCAAAACACGAGACAAAGACAACACTCACAAGGACACACTATTGAGACTCCAAGAAACGGACACGCTTAAAACCGTTATGAGGCAAGCGAAGGATAGAGTAGTAGAAAGACAGAGATTATTCCTCTTACAAGGGACTTAGCGGTAGAGGGAGTCGTAAAGTATATATAAAAAAACAAACACAAACCCCCACACTACCTATAACCGCCCATCGGTTGGGGAAAACCTCACACAGAGAACACACCAGACATAAAAAAAAATAAAGAGGGATAGACCTATAAAAGAGAAGGAGGAGGAGCATCTAGAAATAAGAAGAAGGGGAGCAAGGATGGATGGATGTGAGGTAGAGATGCTCAGCTGATACAGTACCTCCCGGACGAGACATCGCATTCTTGTCCGATTGCTCTTTTCGTTACTTTCAAGCCCACACCTCACTCGTTCCCTGGCTGTGTTGCAGATGTGGCGGTTTGGTGCCACCGGATTGGCAGGCTCGGAGGCTTTATCTTCATTTTGACGATGGCTGCTACTGGCTGTAGGAGGACTGTAAAGTAGGCGCTGTAACCCAGACTGCCCTTCTAGCTGGAATCGGTAGCACGCGGTCGACCAGACGACAAAGTGAGGTTAACCCTTTTTTTTAAAAGCACCAAAAAGCTCCACAATCTTTGGGCAAGCAGAAGTGGGGAAAACGCGATGATTACATTCAGATTGTTAAATACATTCCATTTGGATTATATGCAGCAAATTGGTCTGTACTTTTTGAAATGCCATTACAAGTGCCAATGTCGCAGAGATACAAGGGATTCCTGGACAATCCAAATAGATGAATTCTATTGACAGCTCTCCGTCTTGTAACGACTGATGGGTTTCTATGTGATGGAAAACCGGACTGGGAAGATCTGGACAAAGTGCGGATGTGGTGAATTCATATCAGGTGTGGTATAAAAGCGCAGATGGCTTCCATCTTTGTTTGCCCATTTCAGTTCTGCTTGCTGCAGTCCAAATGTAAACAGTAACTGTTGCATTGGCTGTGACATTGGGGGGTTGTCATTAGGCTGCAGCCTTTGTTGGACACATGTTCAGAGGGACCCCATCAGAGATCAAGACCCGTCGAGATGTGGAAGAAATTTACCTGGTATCAGCCAATGAAGCACAAACTATTGTTTTGTCACATTTTCTGCAAAGGGTTTCCAGTAGTGTAAAGTCTGGAGACATGAACAAATTTGCTTCTGGTCCCTTTTTTTCATACTTTCGAAGAAATAGAGGAAGGGCTCAACGAAGATTTAACTTCTAGGATGGATGGCTGTTACTTGATCAAAACACAAAAACGCCAAAGTTTGAGGGAACCATGTTGGTGTTTACTCCATTAAATCACCCTGATTTCGTACACTCGCAGAATTTTGCAATAGTCCGATCATTATCTTTTATAAAAAGAAAACGAAACTTTACAATAGTTATGTCATAGACGTTGACGTCAACGGCAGCCAATCAAATCAGGGTCAACTCAGCCTACTTTAACATATCACAATATAAGAAACATTCAAGGTAAGTGCTTTCCAAGGATACGTTTTTGTTTGAATTGGTTGGAAACGCTAACAAGGTAAATTTTTTCCCCAAGTCCAAGTCGGGGGTCTTAATAAACGAAGCGCCTATCACACAGAGCCTGCAGCAGCCAGTAGCAGAAGCCAAAATATTCAGCATGACAGAGTTAGTGATTAGAGTCACAGGGGGAAAGTGGAGGACAGCGGAGACATTTACCTCCTTACAGTGCATAGATCAAATCAAGGAAGCACTACAATTACAAAAAAGAAAAAAACAGGATTTTTTTCTTCTTCATTTTAGATTTGTAAACTTTTATCAGTCATCAAATGATTACGTTAAATGTTTTTGTTATATTCTTTGTCCATAACACACACACAATAGCTTTTTAAAATTTATAACATCCACAATTTTTCGCTAAAACAAAGTAGGGTAATTGTTTTTTTTTTACTTCTCGGTGAACGCAGCAGGTTCACCACCCCTGGTTGGAAAACGGGAGGTTTTTTTCGTTCTTTTTTTACAAAACAAACTGAACAAAGAACACGCACACGCAGAAACACACACCACGACGACCAACGCAATGCAGGGATAGCAAGGATTTGCTACAGAGGTCTCTCACACCTGCGCTTCCAAGGCAGGGCGATGATGTCACCAACACAGACAGGAAGCAGCTTTGTTGTTGTTGTTGTTCAGCAGACAACTGTATCATTATTGTTTGTGGTTGTTGTACCATTGCTGTTAAAAGTCTTGTTCCCTCCATCGTCTCTTTACCCGTCCAGACTCCTAGTGGCTTCCTCGTTTTTAAGCAGTATCCTCCGGTGAAAGAAACTTAAAAAAACAACAAGGTCCTTACTTTATTCCAATGGTAAAAATGTAAACATTTTGAGAGGTTGCCTTGCATGGAGGTACCCAGAGGCCTTTCTGAGGGCAGAGCTGTGTAGTTGGAGGGATGTTGCTGCGGTTTACTAAGGCTGGCCAGTCAAGGGCGCTGTGCTGTCAGCGGTGGAGGGACTTCTGGGCTTCCTTCAGCAGAGTGTCAAAGTCCAGTGCATCATACTTGCTCTTGACGGGGCCTGGACCAGCCTCATCTACGAGACAAAACAGGGTCATCGTCAGATACAAGAAATGAAGAGTTCCAAATGTGTCACAGTAGAAAACACTTGTCTCAAGGCATTGCTTTGTGATGTTTGTGTGTGTGTGTGTGTGTGTGTGTGTGTGTGTGTGTATTACCAAGGTCTATGTAGCGTTTCCTCGTCAGCCTCCTCAGGCCCGCAGGTCCATTTTGGAAAACTGTCTCCTGTTCTCTCCAGTGTCTTTGAACCCCTCCCTGGCGAATCTTTATCACCCCACAGCGTTCCCTGCAACCAGACAGAGACATGCTTTACTTTAATGATACTCAATAAAAAACATGCTGGCATCAGTGGAGATCAACAATTCTATAAAGCGTTAAAAAAGTACAGTCCAGTGCTCAAAACTAATTCCAGATTCAGACGCTGCAGCGCTGATAAAAGATTCAAAAGATGGAAGGAGGCAAAAGCTGCCATTGAATGTGAAGTGGCCCCAATTTACACGTTGGAGAAAAGGTAAGTGTAGAAACAAATAATGGTCGCTATCATTATCTGGATATAAAATAATGTTGCACATCCCTAATGGACACTAAAGCAGATTTAAACATTCAGTTCCAACAAATTGTCAAGTTTTGCGATTTCCAGTCCTTCCGAAGACTTTAAAAAGTTCTGAGTTTAAAACAAATGCTTCCACCTTCTTCTTGCTATTTCTGATAACTTGCTATCGAAATTTCATTTTCCAAACCCTGCATCTCAGTCTAGAATGAATTATCCAATGACAGTACTTCCTTCTGTGCAACTTGGACACACACTGTGACCCAACCTAAAAAACTAAGTTCCTCCATCTGCTCAGATTGCAGGATTTTAGATCAGGTCACTTACTCGTTACAGATGATGACTTTGCAGTCCTCTGGTTTGCCGAAAACCTGGAAGCGTTTCCTCAGCATGTTCTGGGTCACGCTGCTTGGCAGGTTGTGGATGTAAAACACCTGGCAGTTGTCCTGGCAACAGGGAAACCATGGCAACAGTCAGGACAAAGGACAATACAGAATACAGATCGACGTGAGAGCTGAAGCACAAAGTGTGGAGCGGTATCCTGAGGCTCAACACTTGACACACTTCAGACGCCCCTGTGTTCATTTACAAACTGTCGCAGTGATGCAGCTGAAGCCTCATCAGATTGTGTTTGTGTGTCATTTCATGTAAAACATGTTAAAATGAATGTGGATGTTTTTGGACATAAACTTTGAGGTTTAGGTCAAGTTTGCCTTTTTGACTCGGGACAAAACCCTTCATTAGTTTAAGTACGCAGGAGACCACAGTGTGTATGTACCTCGTCAGACTTGGCTTTGTTCCTCTGCTTGTCGTCGGGACAGATCTCGGAGTTCTCACTGAAGGAGGACAAAAAAAGGGAGGAGAAGGGGGAGGAAGGTGAGTGAGATAAGGACGAACACAAGGTGAATCTGAAATGTCAGACGTGTGGAAACAGGTGAACTGCTATGCTACAAAAAAAGGAGACGTTCCTCAAACTGACTGCAGCATCGCTCTGTTCCCTCTCCTACATTCAATCTCTTCATGTCGGTCATTGTCATGAGCAGAAATAATAAGAGCATTGACCTTTTTCTCTGAGAGATTCATGTTGAACTTTACGGTTTTAGAAGTCAGTGACACTTGAAATCTCTGACTTCTGAGTTCAGACTACATGACTTACTGGAGTCTTGCAGTTGTTGTGAGTTCATATGACACGACCGACTGGTGTCAGGGGGTCACACACTAACTTGATCTTTCACCAGCACCAGGACTTGTATGTCTGGTCCCCTGTTGCCGATTCGTCTAGATGTTTACCCTGATAGAAGTCTACTCAGAGGAAACTACCGAACTGAGTTCTCTTTGTGCGGCAGCGGTGGCTTCAGGTTCTGCGGACTGAGTCCAGCAGCAGGTCTTCACTTTTCCAGCTCTGATGACATACTGTTTAAAGATACTCTAGTAATATCGTTGGAAGCTGAGCAGTAGATTCAGATTGTAGAGTGCAGTGGAGCAGTTGGTTTGCCGTATGTGGCACAATATGCTGAGAACTAAGGAGTCAGACTTGGACAGAGAGTACGAGCGTCTCTAAATTACCCTTCAGTGACACAGAACTATTCTCAATCTTGGATCTCTCTCTTACTCTTTCACATTCTTTCTTTCTGTCCTCTCGACATTTCTCTTTGACCCACCCCTTCACACCTGTCCCCGTCTCTGTCTCACCTGGAGTCTGTCTTGCTGGCGGGGGAGTCTGGACAGGGTGGAATGGGTGATGATGAGCGAAATGCCGACTGGGACTCAGAGGGCGGCGAAGACGATATAACCAAGGTTGTCCGCTGCTCCTTCGGCTCTGCGTCCTCTGACATCACCAGCCCCTCCCCCTTTTCCTTCCCACCCGCTACCTGATCGTCAGCTGCTTTGGATGTGACTCCATTACTTCCTCCTTGTGCCTGCAACATGGTGCCAAGCATGGCGGCGCTGCGCTTGCGGCTCTCCCCGAGACTCAGCGCGCAGTAGTCGTGGTCACCAAAGTTGCGGTGGGTGTCGCTGTCAACCGCTTGGCCCATGCGCCGCAGCTGGGCGTACAGCTCCGTCTGCTCTGGAAGCTTCCTCTGGTGGTGGGCGCGGCTCAGCCAAGACGAGCCCTTCGTTGCAGCGTTGGCGTTCGATGTCGGATGAACAGATTCACTGCCGCCACCTCCACCGTCGTCGCTGCTGCTGCCACCCGATCCCCCGCTAACCTTTCCTCCCTCTGCCGGCTTGAAGAGCTCGTCCTCCACTGGTTTGTGAGGTGGGGTGGTGGGAGGGGTGAGACCTGAAGACACGCAATAAAGTTATGAACCTTCCAGGAAATAGTCATAAAACCTTTAAGACCAAAACATTTTTACAGTAGAATCTGCCTCCACACATACTCTCATATAGAGATTCTACACACAGCAGTTCTCTACTCTCTCCCAAATAAAGATTCCTTTCAATTATTTCAGATGATTAATATTTTGCCTTGCAGAAATTCCACGAACACGATTTATATATTGGATTTCAATACATGTAAATTCAATGAGGTGACAAAGAGACCAGTCAGCCTTGATCTTCTCGTTAGAAATCTTTTTGGCAGATTTTGTTACCTTGAGACAGAATAAAGCTTAATTTTCACCCCATGTTCTCAGTCTTTATGCTCAGCTAAGTGGCATCTAGTCTCATACTCACAGATCTGAGAGAAGAATGAGCATATATCCTAAAACATCAAGTTATTTCTTTAAGACACTTTGAACCATCGGTGCAGTGTTGATGCATTTCAACCTGTTGCTTCTAATCTCTCAGACCGAATACGATTCCCTCACACTGTTCTCGACACATTAGAGGCAAAACCAGTTGACATCGGCGTATATACGAACAAACTAATACAGGAAATATGTGTTCACCTGCTGTTCCACATAGATCCACACTGAGCGTCTGCTCAAAAGGCTTGGTGCTGAACTGGGACTCTCTGTTAGTGGAGAGAAAAGTAGAAGAGTTAGACTACAACATTAAAACATTAATGAAATAATGCATTTGTTCCCCCACGAAACAAAAACTGCAGTGTTAGTTGATGTCGGCTGAATTCGAACGTTTCTCTCTGTAAACTCTGGTGTTTCTCGGCGCTGCTGGTTTCTTATCACAGAAACCATATGTACTCTGCTGTCCTCTCCTCTATTCTTCTTTCTATCTTTCTATTTCTGTCTCAGTCGCCATGAAAGGCAGGAGGAGCTGCAGTGAGCGGATTGGCTTCAGGCGCGATATTACTTACCCTTAAAAACAACTTTTTTTTTTTTTTTTGGTGAGCGCTCCAGAAGACAAATTCATTTAGAAGATGGACGAACGCCAGGAGTTTGTACACGATCACAATTCAGATTTGTGACTGGTTGGCGCTGGAGGTTTGAGGGCGGGTGGGTGGGGAGGTTAATTTGGAAAGAGCAGCACGGGCGTTCTGTCTGGTACAGATTAAAATCTGAGGAGGTCAGCCAGGGGTCCCTCCATTAGGGATCTTTGGATAAAACATTGGATTTGATCCTGGTTTACTTTTTATCAACTGGAAATATAATAAAAATATAATAATCCTAAAAGACTTAATTTCGACTTCCAGATTATGAAGCATTTGATTATATAACAGAGACAATGACATAAATAACCTTATAGGATGAAATCAATTTGTGCTTAATTTGAATCAGTACATTAAAATGTGATTAACTCAGTCATTTGCATATTCACAGACATGAGATTAGTAAAATTAAAAAACAATCCTCTGCTCCTTAAAGGTGCAGTGTCTCACTCAGTATCCAGAGATAAACATTTAACACATTCACATGTGAATGACAGAATGACAAAGCACGGAGTCGAGGAACATGAGCTTTGACGAGTTTTTTTCCAAAGGTCATGATCTGCATAGCTAACAGAACATGCATAAGATAAACAAACTTTGTTTCTATCGTTGGAGGGTTCTTTTAATAATGTCTTTTTGAAAATATCCACAGTGACCTTGGAGAAAATTATAAAACGTATAATTCTACATTAGATATTTGCACTTGTTACCCCTGCAGGACGCTGCAGAACGTAATTATTACAGTAGAATTTTTGTAGTTATAGTCACTATGTAAAAATTATTATATGATGTGGGTCGTGATTGCTCGTGTAGCTCTGAAACTGGCGGCTCGGTAAACTCCTGCATTTCGTTTTCAAAAAAACCCTGCTGGTCTTTTATTGTGCAAAATAGCTTTGACTGCTGCTGCTTTGTTAACATGAAATATTCTGCTCATGCAAAGTGCTTTAACCAAACTCCCTCTGCTACAGAACTTTACACAGATACTCACCCTGTGGATTTGGGGTTCAGAGGCAGACAGAGACAGGCTCGCTTTTCTGCAACCAGAATAAAAATCCAGTTTACAACCATGGATTTAAATAATTAAAATATATAATATATAAATGTGTTGAAGACGTGTTTTTGCATCACAGGCAACACTAACACTACATCTGAATGTCTCAACTCACGTCCTATGTGCCGCAGATCAGATTTTAACAATGTCACATGTCTGGTCTGATTTACATGGATTGTGATTGAGATCTAATGATGCTGAGACTTGAGAATGACAAGATGTGTGACTTGAATTAAGAAATTTCAAATTGTCAAGGACACAAAGTAAATCCTGCATCTTGTTCACAAAGAGAACGACAAATGAACAATGCACCAGGACTCAGATTTAGTAGACTGATCAATTTTCTGACACTGGGGCCTGGTAATAAAAGAGATGGATTATAAATACAGTCATCCTTATAGATTGAGGATTTAAGCAGCTTTTTAAAACTGACAATGAAAGCCAGGCCTTAATCTTTCCTGTCCAACTCACCATTGTGGCAACAGGAATTAGTTGGTTCCATTGCACCAATGCTGGACGTAAGAGGTTCTGGCCTTGCCTCTGTCGTGGTTCCACCTCCTGCTTGGGTTGGCAGGAGTTTGACCCCTGCTCCCTCCTCCTCCCTCTGCCTTTCCTTCCCCTCTTCTTCCCTCGCTCGTCCAGGCCGCAGCCTCTTAGCGAAGCGGCTGGGGAAAGAGGCCAGACGCCGGGAACGCCGCACTGAGAAGGAGCCGCTGTCCTCCGCGGCCTCCTCCGGTTTTTGAGCCTCCTCATACGGGCAGTTTCTCCATTCGGGGGAGGAAGAGTCTTTGCGTAGCTCAGGTTTTGGGGCGGTGGAGGTCTGGGACGGGGCAGGGTGTGATTTAGCCGAGGCAAAGGGAGCAGGTATTCCTCTGATCGGGCTGTGGGAGAGGGAGTAGGGCGGGCTGTGCAGTCTGTAAGGCTTGCTCACATCGAAAGAGCTGCTCTGCTGCAGGAGCTCACGGAGAAGGGAGTTAGCCTTCATCTCCCTCTGCCTCGCAAAGGGGAGCCTCCTGGGGGCGCCACTGCCCGTCCCAGCCAAGCCCCCACTAGTCCCCGGAGTGGACACTAAGACAACTCTACTGACAGAGTTTGTGGCAGCCGGGCGGGAGGCCTCGGGTCGGGCCCTGGACCTCGGCAGGTCTTTGCGCTCCCAGGCCTGCTGCTTACGCGTGGGCAGGCAGTAGGTGTGCATGTACGTGATCAGCTCCACCACCGAGTGCAGTTCTTTCTCTGAGCTGAATTGAGGCTTTGCCGGCTCGGCTGGGACGGAAGCCGCAACCGCAGCGCCCTCCACCTCGCTGCTGGAAGACTCCTCCTCTTCCTCCTCACCTTCCTCCTCTTCGTCCTCCTCCGACTCACTGTCCTCGTCCTCCTCTTCCTCTTCATCCTCCTCTGTGTCGGGGGCCGGTGCGTCCTCTGCGTCCTGGGCGGTGGTGAGGTGGCGGTGGAGCTCGGTGCAGAGGCGTCCCGCTGGACGCACGGCCCGGGGCTTCCGCTCCTGAGGAAGGTCAGTCTGAGGGCGGAGCAAGAAAAACAAATCTTCAGTCTATTTTACTAGAATCTGCACAAAGTGTCAACCAACGTGTTTTACAATCTAATAAAGAAAAATGTTCCTGCTTTGGTAACGATCTGTCAATAATAAAGAACAACTCAACACAATCAAATGAAAAGATGATTAAACAAATGAAAATGTATCTGTGAGTCTCTGGAGGTTTCTCTCATCTTGTTAAACTTGTCTGTTCAGATTAAATTGAACTAGAAGAACTTGATGATGACACGATAGTAAATCAATGACGGAGTCCAGGAGTGAAATAACCAGCAAAACCCAAACATCCCAGCTTCTGTGTCAGATGCTCCTGAGCCTCATTGTTTTTGGATTTTACGCTACATGAATTTTAAAAGGATGCAGATTAATTTACACTGATTTTCACCCAGATCTTTTTTTAAATTCTGTGTCAAGAGGATTGACTGAACAACATCATGATCCCTGAAGGGAAACTGATTTGCAGAGGACACCTTTCAAAACCACTTATGCTCACAAACATAAATAGAGAAGCATAATAGGAACAACATGTATAAATACTGCTCGGTATTCATCAGAGTCCCTCAACAGTTATTTTAGAATGTTATTTTCCACAGTTTTTTAAAGTAAATAATATATTAATTTAGACATTTTGAAAAAGATGCATTCAAATGAAATAATAAACAATTAAAAATGAAAAATGAACTAGATTGGGGTAGAATGTGAAACAGCTTCATGGTCAGAAGTCTGTTTGTTTATTCATTTGTTTGTTCTTTTCCCTTATGGAATGTTTTAAATTACATTCAGAATATTATTAGTTATTCAATCATTTGCTTTAATGAATATGATCTATCTTAGATTATCACCATTAAAGATGTTTTTTTATATTAAAAGAAGCACGAAAACACCACGTTTTGTCATTTTTCAAATGAAAAATATTTGAGGAGAAACATTTAAATAAACTGTGATAAATTGATGTCAATATTTTCCATCTCTCCAGCCTTCAGTCCATGCTGACATTTAATATGAAACATTTTTTATCCATTCTTCTTTATTAAACTGTTGTTGGAAATATCTCATTGCAGAAAAGTTTCCTGCCCTGAATGCAGGAACACACACACACATACACACACAGCTGTAAATTTTACTTCCGACTTCGTCTACTGTGAGGAACGACTCAACGTGCAGCTGCGATGAAACGGCTGATTCTCTGTTTCTCAGACAGAAAGAGAGAGAGAGATGCAGCGATTCACTGCTGCCCTCGTGCCCTGTCAGTCAATATTCCACCATCTGCCACAGCAAAGCCACACTACGCTAAAACTAAAGCTGACACACACAGCGAGCAGCCGCGGGGTTAGGAACGGTGTGTGTGTGTGTGATGGATACGGGCCGGGCTTATCCCCGTGCTGCATCCTGTGGGTATTTTCTATCCTCCTTTCTTGAGCCCGAGCAGGAGGCTGCAGGGTGAAGGCTCACCACGCTCTATGCTCCAACAAGATAAATGACTGGTATTGTAATCAATGGCCACTTGAAGCACAATGGTAGCAGCAATCCAATTACTGCTAAGTCATACAGCACGAGGCTTTGTAAACGTCCTCTCCTCGCCAACACTACATCTGTCACGAGGAGACGCTGCGAGCACGAAGGTCCACAGAGTCTTTATTCTAAAATGAGAGATCTGTCATTTCAGGAAATAAAATAAAAGCTGATGTTGTACGAGCTCGGCTGCAGCTCTCTGGACTCGATGAGAACCACAGGTTTCGTCTGCGAGGTAAAATCTGATTTTACTACTTTTTTACTGTCTCCTTTATGAACAAATACTAACGTGTGTCAAATTGATGCATGAAAAGCAAATTACTTTGAATTTCCTGATGTGCCACCTCTGTGATTTAAGTGCAGCTACGTAAAAGCTACAGGAACTTTCCAGAAGTTGGACAAAGATCGAGTTTGACACCGGTGTTGACTGCTTTTACCATCTATCTTAAACTAAAAGGTTCTGCAGGCTTGAAACTATCTTAACCTGCAGGTTTGTTTTGTCGACTACAGTCTCAAATGTTTGGATAACTTACTAGACCTCTAAAAATTGAAGGCCAACATCTGTCCTGCACGACCCAATCCTGAGAAAAATAACTGCAGACTTTTGTTTGAAGAAGAACTTTTGCAGTGTGGGCGACTTCAGGCCTCGCGTGCAGCCGCGAATTACTTCCGCCTTTACTCGCCACCTCTGAGAGAAAGTGATTTGAAAAAAATCCAATTTCGTTATCTCTCCGGCCTCCAGAAGACACAGTGAACGAGGCAGTGAAAACACGGATGTGTGTTCCAGCACAACTCACACACTCAGTTCTGCAGTGAAGAGAGTTTCAAAATCTGTAATCTACCTTTTAATTGACAGGTACTCACTGTAATCTGAGACTCACCTTGACCAGAGGTCTGACCGTCCGTAGTTGCAGGCTTCTGTTGCTATAGCGATGGCCATGGACTCCATCTTTGTGTGCGTCGATGCCCGAGGGCACGTTGGGAGGAGTCAGCAGTAGCTTCCTTAGCTGAGGAAGAGGAGTAAGGAGATAGAGAGGAAAGAGGAGATAGAAGAAGACGAAGAAGAAGAAGAAGAAGAAGAGGAGGAGGAGAACAAGGTAATGAAGTGGAAGGAGAAAAGGGAGGAGGTTTAGGGGGAAAAGAAGAAGGTGAAGGGGAAGAGGAAGAAGGTGAAGAAGAAGGTGGATGAGAAGAACAAGGAGGGAGAAGGAGAAGAAGAAAGAGTTGGAGGAGGAGAAAGAGGTAGAGAAGAAGAAGAGACAAGAGATAACATAGGGAAATTAATATGCATCAAATAACAGTGGGACCTGCATGTAACATATATCTGCAAAACTGTTACACTATATATTCCATATTGTACCTTTAATTATTTAGTACTTTTACTGCATGTGTGTTTCACTTTCCTCTTCTGTTGATGTAACAGAGCAGATTTCTCCACAGTGGAGCTAAAACAGATCTGATTTCATCTCCTCTTACACATTTTGTCCAGAAAACCAAAAGAGTAAAAAACTGGAAAAACACATTTTAATAATGAGATAAACGTGTCTCAACGTTTGGCTCGTTCCAGGTTCTGATCTATATTCTGTCGGCTGTTAACCTGCTGCAGATGGATGTTTGAACAAGGGAATAATGTGTAGGAGAAGTCGTCGGGTTATGATACTGTACATTCATCACGTCACTAAAGCTGACAGCCACATGGCACGTTCACGTTTCCCATCAGAGAGCTGGATTTTCTACCCCTGTGATAACATGTGTGACTTCTGCTCCTCCTGCTCTCCATCTTCTCTCTTTCTCTTCAATCAATCAATCCTCCATTTCAGTTTTCCTTCTTTTTCATGATCAACATCCTTCTTTCAGCTTTTTTCATTTTCAGACATCGTCCCTTATTCCCTTCCCATCACCCCCATCCTCGCTCTTCTTCCCCTCCTCAATCATGACCTTTAACACCCATCTTCATCCTCCGAACCTCTGCCCTCTTCTTTCCATCTCTCCATGCCTCTTTCCCTCCACCCATCCCTCCTTCTCTCCCTCCTCTCTGATCAAACAGGAAACCACAGTTAAGATTCTGAGGCAAAAAACAGAACAACCCCCTCCTGAATCCTTCCCCGGGTATTACCTTTCAAATGGATATTAACACAACTGCGCCTCATTCGCCGCCATTCTTTCACTGTCTGTTTTCATCCATCTATTCATCCATTCATTCCAGTGCCTAGCTTCATGACAGGGCTATCAGCTGATATAAATCAGCTTAGGGACAAAATCCCCTGCCAACGCCGCGCAGCTCCTGGAGACGACGACGGGGAAAATGCAGATGTGATGGGAATGAGTATTGGAGCAGCAGGACACACCAGAGCTACCTGAATCATTTACAGCTAAAGTCCCGCTCATTTCCTCAGGTGATGAGACTGTTGGAGCACGTCCAACCATCGGAATGGAATGAAACTCTCCTGGTTGACTCTGGTTCTTTACGTCTGACTGACTGATTCTGAGATTCTGGTGGATGTGATGCTGCTGAAGAGCAAAAGCTAAAGCAGAAACGTGAAAAAAATACATTTGTACAGTTAAAATCACATGGTGGATTCGGATAAATTAAAAGGCCGGACGTGACTCAAGGTCTCAACGATCTGTGCAACATCCTCTAGGCAGTTCTCCATAGCAACAGCATCTTAGACGTAAGAGTATTACAGAAAAGAAATATTTTTTATGTATTCATTATTTTAAAAGAGGAATTTACAGCAAGGAACCAGCTATATATCAGAATTATTAGTAAACAATATAATTATCATAGATAGATACATAGATAGATAGACATACTTTATTCACTTAGGATGATAACACTTATTATCATCCTTTTAATATTTTATGAATTATCTACCCCATTGAGCTACATTTAGCCATTTTATCTGATTGAATTCTTCACTGATGTTGCCAGAACAACTACAAACCTCAACTTTGCATGAAGAACTAGGCGACATTTAGTAAATCTGAGAAAAGCTCTTTCTTCCATTATCTAGAAGTAAATGTGAAACATGAGGTAACTGATGAGGTAAAGGCCTTTTAAGGAAAAAAGCATCAACCCTGTTGTTTATGGTGTCGTTGGTTTGTCATAAAGCTACTGATCATTGTCCAGAGGTCACAGTTGAGCTGCTTTTTATGACAACACCATCGCTGTATATTGCTTTAATGAACACAACATCACCGCACTATACTATCTGGGTCAAATGACTGAAGGGGACGATCGTGCGCGTCACTAATGGGGCCACCGGGGCCCTTTGTGGGTGAGCCAACTTGGCTCAGGGTGTGTGTGTGATGATGCTGCTCTGAGAGTCCCATTGAAGAAAAGTGAAGAGGAGACTGAAGGTTTGTGTCTGTGTGAAACACTGAAAACTCTCTGGCAGCGTCCAGGCCCCTCAAACACTCTCCTCCGCTCTACTCTACTCTACTCTGGACGCCTTCCAGAGCAGCACTGGCAGCATCAATGAACGCCTTGTTCTGTGCTGGGACACACACACACACACACACACACACATGCTCACAATCACACAGACATGGAATTGCACAAGAGCGATGGACACAGATGAACGCAAGAGAAAATCATATACGGAGACTTTTGTGCTATTTCCAACATCAAATATTCAGAAGGTTTAAACTGATGAAGCGACTGAAACTGAAGCGGTCACAACTAGAGATGGGACAAATTATCGATACACGGTATATCAGCGTTCTGACTCGTGAGATGTGATTATTGATATTTCAGTTTTGAGCCAGTTTATGGTTATTTTACGGCACATGTTGACATTGGCTAGTTACAGTGTGTTTGTTAAAGACTAACGAGGCACTGAGATGAGGCTGAGATCAGGCCCTGAGTTTTTTTATTGAGGATAAATCAATAAAAAACCACTGAGATTAGATTTTGAATTATTCTTAAATAAATCATAAATACAATGTGGACACAATTATGCAACACACACACACACACACACAGAGTGGGGCCCTCTGCAGTCCTATCTTGAACCAGTAGAGGGCAGTGCCACACTCAGACTTAAACACATGAGTGACAGCAGTCATGTGACAGTGAAGCACTCAACTGATGGAAACACACACACACACACACA